TGACTGGTGTATCTTTGTCAGTTTTGGTGAAGGTCAATGTTACTTTAGTGCCCTTTGTCAATGCTAGATTATCTGGTATATCATCTGGAGAATATCCATCTTCTGGTTGATCATTTCCATCAGAATCTTTAACAGGAACATCATTGCCATCCTTATCTGTGATAGTGATCTTCACTTTGTCAACATTTTCAGGATTTATCAATGTTACTCTATCAATTTCTTCATCATCATTTTCAGATATTGTTACTGTGACAGTTGGGGTATCGTCATTATCACCACTTGTCCATGGTGTATTAGATTTTGGAATAATATCTGTTGGTGTTCCACTGCTAGTTTCAATATCATCAGGTTGAATAATGCTCTCTTCATCCATGATTTCTTGACAAAGTGTTGGTGTTGTTGTTGATGGTGTTGAAGTTGTACCACTTGTAGTTTTGGTTGTTGTACCAGTAGTTGTACCAGTAGTTGTACCAGTAGTAGTACCAGTAGTTGTTCCAGTTGTTGTTCCAGTTGTTGTACCAGTAGTTGTTCCAGTTGTAGTACCAGTAGTTGTACCAGTGGTTGTTCCAGTTGTTGTTCCTGTTGTTGTTCCTGTAGTAGTACCTGTAGTTGTACCAGTAGTTGTTCCTGTTGTTGTACCAGTTGTGGTACCTGTTGTTGTTCCAGTAGTTGTACCTGTTGTTGTACCTGTAGTTGTACCAGTAGTAGTACCAGTAGTTGTACCAGTAGTTGTTCCAGTTGTAGTTCCTGTAGTTGTTCCTGTTGTTGTTGTCTCTGAATAAGGGTAGAAAAAAATTGAATATTTGTGCATAAATTTTTTGGTTTTTTTTAGGTTTAAACAAAATTAATTTACAAACCTTCCTCAGAACAAGCCAATATTGTTACTTGTGTTTTTACTGGTTCATTTGGAATGACCTTTGTGAATGTTAAAGTGACTGTGGTAGCAAGTGTGAGACTGAATTTTTGTGGTAAATTGTCTGGTGAATAGCCTGTATCTGGTTGTTCAATTCCTTGTGAATCCTTAACAATTACATCATTGCCATCCTTATCAGTGAATCTGATTGTAACTTTTTCTACATTGTCTGGTGATTTCAATGTAACTCTATCAATTTCAACATTATCTCCTTCAGATACTCTGATTGTGACTGTTGGGTTTTCGTCATTTACACTTTCCCATAATGTTGGAGAAGTTGGGATAATGTCTTGTGGATTTCCGCTTGATACTGTAATATCATCAGGTTGAATGACCTTGTCATCATCCATGATTTCTTGACAATAAGTGACTGTTGTTGTTGATGGAGAGGTGGTTGTACCACTTGTTGTTCCAGTTGTTGTTCCAGTTGTTGTTCCAGTTGTTGTACCAGTGGTTGTTCCAGTGGTTGTTCCTGTTGTTGTTGTTTCTAAAAAGTAAGAATAGAGCACAAGTAGAAAATTTTACATTTTAAGAAAAAAATTTATATGCTGATTGATTAATGTAAAAATATATATAAATATATACATATCTATATATGTAAAATAAAAAACAAAAAGACAATTTACCTGGTTTAACACAAGCAAGAATTTCCACTTTGGTTGTGACTGGTGTATCTTTGTCAGTTTTGGTGAAGGTCAATGTTACTTTAGTGCCCTTTGTCAATGCTAGATTATCTGGTATATCATCTGGAGAATATCCATCTTCTGGTTGATCATTTCCATCAGAATCTTTAACAGGAACATCATTGCCATCCTTATCTGTGATAGTGATCTTCACTTTGTCAACATTTTCAGGATTTATCAATGTTACTCTATCAATTTCTTCATCATCATTTTCAGATATTGTTACTGTGACAGTTGGGGTATCGTCATTATCACCACTTGTCCATGGTGTATTAGATTTTGGAATAATATCTGTTGGTGTTCCACTGCTAGTTTCAATATCATCAGGTTGAATAATGCTCTCTTCATCCATGATTTCTTGACAAAGTGTTGGTGTTGTTGTTGATGGTGTTGAAGTTGTACCACTTGTAGTTTTGGTTGTTTCATAGTTGTACCAGTAGTTGTACCAGTAGTAGTACCAGTAGTTGTTCATTGTTGTTCCAGTTTGTACCAGTAGTTTTCCAGTTGTACAGTAGTTGTACCAGTGGTTGTTCCAGTTGTTGTTCTTGTTTTCCTTAGTAGTACTGTATTTCAGTAGTTTTTTTGTTGTACATTTGTACTGTTGTTTTCCAGTAGTTGTACCTTTGTTTACTGTAGTTTACCAGTAGTAGTACCAGTAGTTGTACCAGTAGTTGTTCCAGTTGTAGTTCCTGTAGTTGTTCCTGTTGTTGTTGTCTCTGAATAAGGGTAGAAAAAAATTGAATATTTGTGCATAAATTTTTTGGTTTTTTTTAGGTTTAAACAAAATTAATTTACAAACCTTCCTCAGAACAAGCCAATATTGTTACTTGTGTTTTTACTGGTTCATTTGGAATGACCTTTGTGAATGTTAAAGTGACTGTGGTAGCAAGTGTGAGACTGAATTTTTGTGGTAAATTGTCTGGTGAATAGCCTGTATCTGGTTGTTCAATTCCTTGTGAATCCTTAACAATTACATCATTGCCATCCTTATCAGTGAATCTGATTGTAACTTTTTCTACATTGTCTGGTGATTTCAATGTAACTCTATCAATTTCAACATTATCTCCTTCAGATACTCTGATTGTGACTGTTGGGTTTTCGTCATTTACACTTTCCCATAATGTTGGAGAAGTTGGGATAATGTCTTGTGGATTTCCGCTTGATACTGTAATATCATCAGGTTGAATGACCTTGTCATCATCCATGATTTCTTGACAATAAGTGACTGTTGTTGTTGATGGAGAGGTGGTTGTACCACTTGTTGTTCCAGTTGTTGTTCCAGTTGTTGTTCCAGTTGTTGTTCCAGTTGTTGTACCAGTGGTTGTTCCAGTGGTTGTTCCTGTTGTTGTTGTTTCTAAAAAGTAAGAATAGAGCACAAGTAGAAAATTTTACATTTTAAGAAAAAAATTTATATGCTGATTGATTAATGTAAAAATATATATAAATATATACATATCTATATATGTAAAATAAAAAACAAAAAGACAATTTACCTGGTTTAACACAAGCAAGAATTTCCACTTTGGTTGTGACTGGTGTATCTTTGTCAGTTTTGGTGAAGGTCAATGTTACTTTAGTGCCCTTTGTCAATGCTAGATTATCTGGTATATCATCTGGAGAATATCCATCTTCTGGTTGATCATTTCCATCAGAATCTTTAACAGGAACATCATTGCCATCCTTATCTGTGATAGTGATCTTCACTTTGTCAACATTTTCAGGATTTATCAATGTTACTCTATCAATTTCTTCATCATCATTTTCAGATATTGTTACTGTGACAGTTGGGGTATCGTCATTATCACCACTTGTCCATGGTGTATTAGATTTTGGAATAATATCTGTTGGTGTTCCACTGCTAGTTTCAATATCATCAGGTTGAATAATGCTCTCTTCATCCATGATTTCTTGACAAAGTGTTGGTGTTGTTGTTGATGGTGTTGAAGTTGTACCACTTGTAGTTTTGGTTGTTGTACCAGTAGTTGTACCAGTAGTTGTACCAGTAGTAGTACCAGTAGTTGTTCCAGTTGTTGTTCCAGTTGTTGTACCAGTAGTTGTTCCAGTTGTAGTACCAGTAGTTGTACCAGTGGTTGTTCCAGTTGTTGTTCCTGTTGTTGTTCCTGTAGTAGTACCTGTAGTTGTACCAGTAGTTGTTCCTGTTGTTGTACCAGTTGTGGTACCTGTTGTTGTTCCAGTAGTTGTACCTGTTGTTGTACCTGTAGTTGTACCAGTAGTAGTACCAGTAGTTGTACCAGTAGTTGTTCCAGTTGTAGTTCCTGTAGTTGTTCCTGTTGTTGTTGTCTCTGAATAAGGGTAGAAAAAAATTGAATATTTGTGCATAAATTTTTTGGTTTTTTTTAGGTTTAAACAAAATTAATTTACAAACCTTCCTCAGAACAAGCCAATATTGTTACTTGTGTTTTTACTGGTTCATTTGGAATGACCTTTGTGAATGTTAAAGTGACTGTGGTAGCAAGTGTGAGACTGAATTTTTGTGGTAAATTGTCTGGTGAATAGCCTGTATCTGGTTGTTCAATTCCTTGTGAATCCTTAACAATTACATCATTGCCATCCTTATCAGTGAATCTGATTGTAACTTTTTCTACATTGTCTGGTGATTTCAATGTAACTCTATCAATTTCAACATTATCTCCTTCAGATACTCTGATTGTGACTGTTGGGTTTTCGTCATTTACACTTTCCCATAATGTTGGAGAAGTTGGGATAATGTCTGTGGATTTCCGCTTGATACTGTAATATCATCAGTTGAATGACCTTGTCATCATCCATGATTTCTTGACAATAAGTGACTGTTGTTGTTGATGGAGAGGTGGTTGTACCACTTGTTGTTCCAGTTGTTGTTCCAGTTGTTGTTCCAGTTGTTGTTCCAGTTGTTGTACCAGTGGTTGTTCCAGTGGTTGTTCCTGTTGTTGTTGTTTCTAAAAAGTAAGAATAGAGCACAAGTAGAAAATTTTACATTTTAAGAAAAAAATTAATATGCTGATTGATTAATGTAAAAAATATATATAAATATACATATCTATATATGTAAAATAAAAAACAAAAAGACAATTTACCTGGTTTAACACAAGCAAGAATTTCCACTTTGGTTGTGACTGGTGTATCTTTGTCAGTTTTGGTGAAGGTCAATGTTACTTTAGTGCCCTTTGTCATGCTAGATTATCTGGTATATCATCTGGAGATATCCATCTTCTGGTTGATCATTTCCATCAGAATCTTTAACAGGAACATCATTGCATCCTTATCTGTGATAGTGATCTTTCACTTTGTCAACATTTTTCAGGATTTATCAATGTTACTCTATCAATTTCTTCATCATCATTTCAGATATTGTTACTGTGACAGTTGGGGTATCGTCATTATCACCACTTGTCCATGGTGTATTAGATTTTGGAATAATATCTGTTGTGTTCCACTGCTAGTTTCAATATCATCAGGTTGAATAATGCTCTCTTCATCCATGATTTCTTGACAAAGTGTTGGTGTTTTGTTGATGGTGTTGAAGTTGTACCACTTGTAGTTTTGGTTGTTGTACCAGTAGTTGTACCAGTAGTTGTACCAGTAGTAGTACCAGTAGTTGTTCCAGTTGTTGTTCCAGTTGTTGTACCAGTAGTTGTTCCAGTTGTAGTACCAGTAGTTGTACCAGTGGTTGTTCCAGTTGTTGTTCCTGTTGTTGTTCCTGTAGTAGTACCTGTAGTTGTACCAGTAGTTGTTCCTGTTGTTGTACCAGTTGTGGTACCTGTTGTTGTTCCAGTAGTTGTACCTGTTGTTGTACCTGTAGTTGTACCAGTAGTAGTACCAGTAGTTGTACCAGTAGTTGTTCCAGTTGTAGTTCCTGTAGTTGTTCCTGTTGTTGTTGTCTCTGAATAAGGGTAGAAAAAAATTGAATATTTGTGCATAAATTTTTTGGTTTTTTTTAGGTTTAAACAAAATTAATTTACAAACCTTCCTCAGAACAAGCCAATATTGTTACTTGTGTTTTTACTGGTTCATTTGGAATGACCTTTGTGAATGTTAAAGTGACTGTGGTAGCAAGTGTGAGACTGAATTTTTGTGGTAAATTGTCTGGTGAATAGCCTGTATCTGGTTGTTCAATTCCTTGTGAATCCTTAACAATTACATCATTGCCATCCTTATCAGTGAATCTGATTGTAACTTTTTCTACATTGTCTGGTGATTTCAATGTAACTCTATCAATTTCAACATTATCTCCTTCAGATACTCTGATTGTGACTGTTGGGTTTTCGTCATTTACACTTTCCCATAATGTTGGAGAAGTTGGGATAATGTCTTGTGGATTTCCGCTTGATACTGTAATATCATCAGGTTGAATGACCTTGTCATCATCCATGATTTCTTGACAATAAGTGACTGTTGTTGTTGATGGAGAGGTGGTTGTACCACTTGTTGTTCCAGTTGTTGTTCCAGTTGTTGTTCCAGTTGTTGTTCCAGTTGTTGTACCAGTGGTTGTTCCAGTGGTTGTTCCTGTTGTTGTTGTTTCTAAAAAGTAAGAATAGAGCACAAGTAGAAAATTTTACATTTTAAGAAAAAAATTTATATGCTGATTGATTAATGTAAAAATATATATAAATATATACATATCTATATATGTAAAATAAAAAACAAAAAGACAATTTACCTGGTTTAACACAAGCAAGAATTTCCACTTTGGTTGTGACTGGTGTATCTTTGTCAGTTTTGGTGAAGGTCAATGTTACTTTAGTGCCCTTTGTCAATGCTAGATTATCTGGTATATCATCTGGAGAATATCCATCTTCTGGTTGATCATTTCCATCAGAATCTTTAACAGGAACATCATTGCCATCCTTATCTGTGATAGTGATCTTCACTTTGTCAACATTTTCAGGATTTATCAATGTTACTCTATCAATTTCTTCATCATCATTTTCAGATATTGTTACTGTGACAGTTGGGGTATCGTCATTATCACCACTTGTCCATGGTGTATTAGATTTTGGAATAATATCTGTTGGTGTTCCACTGCTAGTTTCAATATCATCAGGTTGAATAATGCTCTCTTCATCCATGATTTCTTGACAAAGTGTTGGTGTTGTTGTTGATGGTGTTGAAGTTGTACCACTTGTAGTTTTGGTTGTTGTACCAGTAGTTGTACCAGTAGTAGTACCAGTAGTAGTACCAGTAGTTGTTCCAGTAGTTGTACCAGTAGTTGTTCCAGTTGTAGTTCCTGTAGTTGTTCCTGTTGTTGTTGTCTCTGAATAAGGGTAGAAAAAAATTGAATATTTGTGCATAAATTTTTTGGTTTTTTTTAGGTTTAAACAAAATTAATTTACAAACCTTCCTCAGAACAAGCCAATATTGTTACTTGTGTTTTTACTGGTTCATTTGGAATGACCTTTGTGAATGTTAAAGTGACTGTGGTAGCAAGTGTGAGACTGAATTTTTGTGGTAAATTGTCTGGTGAATAGCCTGTATCTGGTTGTTCAATTCCTTGTGAATCCTTAACAATTACATCATTGCCATCCTTATCAGTGAATCTGATTGTAACTTTTTCTACATTGTCTGGTGATTTCAATGTAACTCTATCAATTTCAACATTATCTCCTTCAGATACTCTGATTGTGACTGTTGGGTTTTCGTCATTTACACTTTCCCATAATGTTGGAGAAGTTGGGATAATGTCTTGTGGATTTCCGCTTGATACTGTAATATCATCAGGTTGAATGACCTTGTCATCATCCATGATTTCTTGACAATAAGTGACTGTTGTTGTTGATGGAGAGGTGGTTGTACCACTTGTTGTTCCAGTTGTTGTTCCAGTTGTTGTTCCAGTTGTTGTTCCAGTTGTTGTACCAGTGGTTGTTCCAGTGGTTGTTCCTGTTGTTGTTGTTTCTAAAAAGTAAGAATAGAGCACAAGTAGAAAATTTTACATTTTAAGAAAAAAATTTATATGCTGATTGATTAATGTAAAAATATATATAAATATATACATATCTATATATGTAAAATAAAAAACAAAAAGACAATTTACCTGGTTTAACACAAGCAAGAATTTCCACTTTGGTTGTGACTGGTGTATCTTTGTCAGTTTTGGTGAAGGTCAATGTTACTTTAGTGCCCTTTGTCAATGCTAGATTATCTGGTATATCATCTGGAGAATATCCATCTTCTGGTTGATCATTTCCATCAGAATCTTTAACAGGAACATCATTGCCATCCTTATCTGTGATAGTGATCTTCACTTTGTCAACATTTTCAGGATTTATCAATGTTACTCTATCAATTTCTTCATCATCATTTTCAGATATTGTTACTGTGACAGTTGGGGTATCGTCATTATCACCACTTGTCCATGGTGTATTAGATTTTGGAATAATATCTGTTGGTGTTCCACTGCTAGTTTCAATATCATCAGGTTGAATAATGCTCTCTTCATCCATGATTTCTTGACAAAGTGTTGGTGTTGTTGTTGATGGTGTTGAAGTTGTACCACTTGTAGTTTTGGTTGTTGTACCAGTAGTTGTACCAGTAGTTGTACCAGTAGTAGTACCAGTAGTTGTTCCAGTTGTTGTTCCAGTTGTTGTACCAGTAGTTGTTCCAGTTGTAGTACCAGTAGTTGTACCAGTGGTTGTTCCAGTTGTTGTTCCTGTTGTTGTTCCTGTAGTAGTACCTGTAGTTGTACCAGTAGTTGTTCCTGTTGTTGTACCAGTTGTGGTACCTGTTGTTGTTCCAGTAGTTGTACCTGTTGTTGTACCTGTAGTTGTACCAGTAGTAGTACCAGTAGTTGTACCAGTAGTTGTTCCAGTTGTAGTTCCTGTAGTTGTTCCTGTTGTTGTTGTCTCTGAATAAGGGTAGAAAAAAATTGAATATTTGTGCATAAATTTTTTGGTTTTTTTTAGGTTTAAACAAAATTAATTTACAAACCTTCCTCAGAACAAGCCAATATTGTTACTTGTGTTTTTACTGGTTCATTTGGAATGACCTTTGTGAATGTTAAAGTGACTGTGGTAGCAAGTGTGAGACTGAATTTTTGTGGTAAATTGTCTGGTGAATAGCCTGTATCTGGTTGTTCAATTCCTTGTGAATCCTTAACAATTACATCATTGCCATCCTTATCAGTGAATCTGATTGTAACTTTTTCTACATTGTCTGGTGATTTCAATGTAACTCTATCAATTTCAACATTATCTCCTTCAGATACTCTGATTGTGACTGTTGGGTTTTCGTCATTTACACTTTCCCATAATGTTGGAGAAGTTGGGATAATGTCTTGTGGATTTCCGCTTGATACTGTAATATCATCAGGTTGAATGACCTTGTCATCATCCATGATTTCTTGACAATAAGTGACTGTTGTTGTTGATGGAGAGGTGGTTGTACCACTTGTTGTTCCAGTTGTTGTTCCAGTTGTTGTTCCAGTTGTTGTACCAGTGGTTGTTCCAGTGGTTGTTCCTGTTGTTGTTGTTTCTAAAAAGTAAGAATAGAGCACAAGTAGAAAATTTTACATTTTAAGAAAAAAATTTATATGCTGATTGATTAATGTAAAAATATATATAAATATATACATATCTATATATGTAAAATAAAAAACAAAAAGACAATTTACCTGGTTTAACACAAGCAAGAATTTCCACTTTGGTTGTGACTGGTGTATCTTTGTCAGTTTTGGTGAAGGTCAATGTTACTTTAGTGCCCTTTGTCAATGCTAGATTATCTGGTATATCATCTGGAGAATATCCATCTTCTGGTTGATCATTTCCATCAGAATCTTTAACAGGAACATCATTGCCATCCTTATCTGTGATAGTGATCTTCACTTTGTCAACATTTTCAGGATTTATCAATGTTACTCTATCAATTTCTTCATCATCATTTTCAGATATTGTTACTGTGACAGTTGGGGTATCGTCATTATCACCACTTGTCCATGGTGTATTAGATTTTGGAATAATATCTGTTGGTGTTCCACTGCTAGTTTCAATATCATCAGGTTGAATAATGCTCTCTTCATCCATGATTTCTTGACAAAGTGTTGGTGTTGTTGTTGATGGTGTTGAAGTTGTACCACTTGTAGTTTTGGTTGTTGTACCAGTAGTTGTACCAGTAGTTGTACCAGTAGTAGTACCAGTAGTTGTTCCAGTTGTTGTTCCAGTTGTTGTACCAGTAGTTGTTCCAGTTGTAGTACCAGTAGTTGTACCAGTGGTTGTTCCAGTTGTTGTTCCTGTTGTTGTTCCTGTAGTAGTACCTGTAGTTGTACCAGTAGTTGTTCCTGTTGTTGTACCAGTTGTGGTACCTGTTGTTGTTCCAGTAGTTGTACCTGTTGTTGTACCTGTAGTTGTACCAGTAGTAGTACCAGTAGTTGTACCAGTAGTTGTTCCAGTTGTAGTTCCTGTAGTTGTTCCTGTTGTTGTTGTCTCTGAATAAGGGTAGAAAAAAATTGAATATTTGTGCATAAATTTTTTGGTTTTTTTTAGGTTTAAACAAAATTAATTTACAAACCTTCCTCAGAACAAGCCAATATTGTTACTTGTGTTTTTACTGGTTCATTTGGAATGACCTTTGTGAATGTTAAAGTGACTGTGGTAGCAAGTGTGAGACTGAATTTTTGTGGTAAATTGTCTGGTGAATAGCCTGTATCTGGTTGTTCAATTCCTTGTGAATCCTTAACAATTACATCATTGCCATCCTTATCAGTGAATCTGATTGTAACTTTTTCTACATTGTCTGGTGATTTCAATGTAACTCTATCAATTTCAACATTATCTCCTTCAGATACTCTGATTGTGACTGTTGGGTTTTCGTCATTTACACTTTCCCATAATGTTGGAGAAGTTGGGATAATGTCTTGTGGATTTCCGCTTGATACTGTAATATCATCAGGTTGAATGACCTTGTCATCATCCATGATTTCTTGACAATAAGTGACTGTTGTTGTTGATGGAGAGGTGGTTGTACCACTTGTTGTTCCAGTTGTTGTTCCAGTTGTTGTTCCAGTTGTTGTACCAGTGGTTGTTCCAGTGGTTGTTCCTGTTGTTGTTGTTTCTAAAAAGTAAGAATAGAGCACAAGTAGAAAATTTTACATTTTAAGAAAAAAATTTATATGCTGATTGATTAATGTAAAAATATATATAAATATATACATATCTATATATGTAAAATAAAAAACAAAAAGACAATTTACCTGGTTTAACACAAGCAAGAATTTCCACTTTGGTTGTGACTGGTGTATCTTTGTCAGTTTTGGTGAAGGTCAATGTTACTTTAGTGCCCTTTGTCAATGCTAGATTATCTGGTATATCATCTGGAGAATATCCATCTTCTGGTTGATCATTTCCATCAGAATCTTTAACAGGAACATCATTGCCATCCTTATCTGTGATAGTGATCTTCACTTTGTCAACATTTTCAGGATTTATCAATGTTACTCTATCAATTTCTTCATCATCATTTTCAGATATTGTTACTGTGACAGTTGGGGTATCGTCATTATCACCACTTGTCCATGGTGTATTAGATTTTGGAATAATATCTGTTGGTGTTCCACTGCTAGTTTCAATATCATCAGGTTGAATAATGCTCTCTTCATCCATGATTTCTTGACAAAGTGTTGGTGTTGTTGTTGATGGTGTTGAAGTTGTACCACTTGTAGTTTTGGTTGTTGTACCAGTAGTTGTACCAGTAGTTGTACCAGTAGTAGTACCAGTAGTTGTTCCAGTTGTTGTTCCAGTTGTTGTACCAGTAGTTGTTCCAGTTGTAGTACCAGTAGTTGTACCAGTGGTTGTTCCAGTTGTTGTTCCTGTTGTTGTTCCTGTAGTAGTACCTGTAGTTGTACCAGTAGTTGTTCCTGTTGTTGTACCAGTTGTGGTACCTGTTGTTGTTCCAGTAGTTGTACCTGTTGTTGTACCTGTAGTTGTACCAGTAGTAGTACCAGTAGTTGTACCAGTAGTTGTTCCAGTTGTAGTTCCTGTAGTTGTTCCTGTTGTTGTTGTCTCTGAATAAGGGTAGAAAAAAATTGAATATTTGTGCATAAATTTTTTGGTTTTTTTTAGGTTTAAACAAAATTAATTTACAAACCTTCCTCAGAACAAGCCAATATTGTTACTTGTGTTTTTACTGGTTCATTTGGAATGACCTTTGTGAATGTTAAAGTGACTGTGGTAGCAAGTGTGAGACTGAATTTTTGTGGTAAATTGTCTGGTGAATAGCCTGTATCTGGTTGTTCAATTCCTTGTGAATCCTTAACAATTACATCATTGCCATCCTTATCAGTGAATCTGATTGTAACTTTTTCTACATTGTCTGGTGATTTCAATGTAACTCTATCAATTTCAACATTATCTCCTTCAGATACTCTGATTGTGACTGTTGGGTTTTCGTCATTTACACTTTCCCATAATGTTGGAGAAGTTGGGATAATGTCTTGTGGATTTCCGCTTGATACTGTAATATCATCAGGTTGAATGACCTTGTCATCATCCATGATTTCTTGACAATAAGTGACTGTTGTTGTTGATGGAGAGGTGGTTGTACCACTTGTTGTTCCAGTTGTTGTTCCAGTTGTTGTTCCAGTTGTTGTACCAGTGGTTGTTCCAGTGGTTGTTCCTGTTGTTGTTGTTTCTAAAAAGTAAGAATAGAGCACAAGTAGAAAATTTTACATTTTAAGAAAAAAATTTATATGCTGATTGATTAATGTAAAAATATATATAAATATATACATATCTATATATGTAAAATAAAAAACAAAAAGACAATTTACCTGGTTTAACACAAGCAAGAATTTCCACTTTGGTTGTGACTGGTGTATCTTTGTCAGTTTTGGTGAAGGTCAATGTTACTTTAGTGCCCTTTGTCAATGCTAGATTATCTGGTATATCATCTGGAGAATATCCATCTTCTGGTTGATCATTTCCATCAGAATCTTTAACAGGAACATCATTGCCATCCTTATCTGTGATAGTGATCTTCACTTTGTCAACATTTTCAGGATTTATCAATGTTACTCTATCAATTTCTTCATCATCATTTTCAGATATTGTTACTGTGACAGTTGGGGTATCGTCATTATCACCACTTGTCCATGGTGTATTAGATTTTGGAATAATATCTGTTGGTGTTCCACTGCTAGTTTCAATATCATCAGGTTGAATAATGCTCTCTTCATCCATGATTTCTTGACAAAGTGTTGGTGTTGTTGTTGATGGTGTTGAAGTTGTACCACTTGTAGTTTTGGTTGTTGTACCAGTAGTTGTACCAGTAGTTGTACCAGTAGTAGTACCAGTAGTTGTTCCAGTTGTTGTTCCAGTTGTTGTACCAGTAGTTGTTCCAGTTGTAGTACCAGTAGTTGTACCAGTGGTTGTTCCAGTTGTTGTTCCTGTTGTTGTTCCTGTAGTAGTACCTGTAGTTGTACCAGTAGTTGTTCCTGTTGTTGTACCAGTTGTGGTACCTGTTGTTGTTCCAGTAGTTGTACCTGTTGTTGTACCTGTAGTTGTACCAGTAGTAGTACCAGTAGTTGTACCAGTAGTTGTTCCAGTTGTAGTTCCTGTAGTTGTTCCTGTTGTTGTTGTCTCTGAATAAGGGTAGAAAAAAATTGAATATTTGTGCATAAATTTTTTGGTTTTTTTTAGGTTTAAACAAAATTAATTTACAAACCTTCCTCAGAACAAGCCAATATTGTTACTTGTGTTTTTACTGGTTCATTTGGAATGACCTTTGTGAATGTTAAAGTGACTGTGGTAGCAAGTGTGAGACTGAATTTTTGTGGTAAATTGTCTGGTGAATAGCCTGTATCTGGTTGTTCAATTCCTTGTGAATCCTTAACAATTACATCATTGCCATCCTTATCAGTGAATCTGATTGTAACTTTTTCTACATTGTCTGGTGATTTCAATGTAACTCTATCAATTTCAACATTATCTCCTTCAGATACTCTGATTGTGACTGTTGGGTTTTCGTCATTTACACTTTCCCATAATGTTGGAGAAGTTGGGATAATGTCTTGTGGATTTCCGCTTGATACTGTAATATCATCAGGTTGAATGACCTTGTCATCATCCATGATTTCTTGACAATAAGTGACTGTTGTTGTTGATGGAGAGGTGGTTGTACCACTTGTTGTTCCAGTTGTTGTTCCAGTTGTTGTTCCAGTTGTTGTTCCAGTTGTTGTACCAGTGGTTGTTCCAGTGGTTGTTCCTGTTGTTGTTGTTTCTAAAAAGTAAGAATAGAGCACAAGTAGAAAATTTTACATTTTAAGAAAAAAATTTATATGCTGATTGATTAATGTAAAAATATATATAAATATATACATATCTATATATGTAAAATAAAAAACAAAAGACAATTTACCTGGTTTAACACAAGCAAGAATTTCCACTTTGGTTGTGACTGGTGTATCTTTGTCAGTTTTGGTGAAGGTCAATGTTACTTTAGTGCCCTTTGTCAATGCTAGATTATCTGGTATATCATCTGGAGAATATCCATCTTCTGGTTGATCATTTCCATCAGAATCTTTAACAGGAACATCATTGCCATCCTTATCTGTGATAGTGATCTTCACTTTGTCAACATTTTCAGGATTTATCAATATTACTCTATCAATTTCTTCATCATCATTTTCAGATATTGTTACTGTGACAGTTGGGGTATCGTCATTATCACCACTTGTCCATGGTGTATTAGATTTTGGAATAATATCTGTTGGTGTTCCACTGCTAGTTTCAATATCATCAGGTTGAATAATGCTCTCTTCATCCATGATTTCTTGACAAAGTGTTGGTGTTGTTGTTGATGGTGTTGAAGTTGTACCACTTGTAGTTTTGGTTGTTGTACCAGTAGTTGTACCAGTAGTTGTACCAGTAGTAGTACCAGTAGTTGTTCCAGTTGTTGTTCCAGTTGTTGTACCAGTAGTTGTTCCAGTTGTAGTACCAGTAGTTGTACCAGTGGTTGTTCCAGTTGTTGTTCCTGTTGTTGTTCCTGTAGTAGTACCTGTAGTTGTACCAGTAGTTGTTCCTGTTGTTGTACCAGTTGTGGTACCTGTTGTTGTTCCAGTAGTTGTACCTGTTGTTGTACCTGTAGTTGTTCCTGTTGTTGTTCCTGTAGTAGTACCTGTAGTTGTACCAGTAGTTGTTCCTGTTGTTGTACCAGTTGTGGTACCTGTTGTTGTTCCAGTAGTTGTACCTGTTGTTGTACCTGTAGTTGTACCAGTAGTAGTACCAGTAGTTGTACCAGTAGTTGTTCCAGTTGTAGTTCCTGTAGTTGTTCCTGTTGTTGTTGTCTCTGAATAAGGGTAGAAAAAAATTGAATATTTGTGCATAAATTTTTTGGTTTTTTTTAGGTTTAAACAAAATTAATTTACAAACCTTCCTCAGAACAAGCCAATATTGTTACTTGTGTTTTTACTGGTTCATTTGGAATGACCTTTGTGAATGTTAAAGTGACTGTGGTAGCAAGTGTGAGACTGAATTTTTGTGGTAAATTGTCTGGTGAATAGCCTGTATCTGGTTGTTCAATTCCTTGTGAATCCTTAACAATTACATCATTGCCATCCTTATCAGTGAATCTGATTGTAACTTTTTCTACATTGTCTGGTGATTTCAATGTAACTCTATCAATTTCAACATTATCTCCTTCAGATACTCTGATTGTGACTGTTGGGTTTTCGTCATTTACACTTTCCCATAATGTTGGAGAAGTTGGGATAATGTCTTGTGGATTTCCGCTTGATACTGTAATATCATCAGGTTGAATGACCTTGTCATCATCCATGATTTCTTGACAATAAGTGACTGTTGTTGTTGATGGAGAGGTGGTTGTACCACTTGTTGTTCCAGTTGTTGTTCCAGTTGTTGTTCCAGTTGTTGTACCAGTGGTTGTTCCAGTGGTTGTTCCTGTTGTTGTTGTTTCTAAAAAGTAAGAATAGAGCACAAGTAGAAAATTTTACATTTTAAGAAAAAAATTTATATGCTGATTGATTAATGTAAAAATATATATAAATATATACATATCTATATATGTAAAATAAAAAACAAAAAGACAATTTACCTGGTTTAACACAAGCAAGAATTTCCACTTTGGTTGTGACTGGTGTATCTTTGTCAGTTTTGGTGAAGGTCAATGTTACTTTAGTGCCCTTTGTCAATGCTAGATTATCTGGTATATCATCTGGAGAATATCCATCTTCTGGTTGATCATTTCCATCAGAATCTTTAACAGGAACATCATTGCCATCCTTATCTGTGATAGTGATCTTCACTTTGTCAACATTTTCAGGATTTATCAATGTTACTCTATCAATTTCTTCATCATCATTTTCAGATATTGTTACTGTGACAGTTGGGGTATCGTCATTATCACCACTTGTCCATGGTGTATTAGATTTTGGAATAATATCTGTTGGTGTTCCACTGCTAGTTTCAATATCATCAGGTTGAATAATGCTCTCTTCATCCATGATTTCTTGACAAAGTGTTGGTGTTGTTGTTGATGGTGTTGAAGTTGTACACTTGTAGTTTTGGTTGTTGTACCAGTAGTTGTACCAGTAGTAGTACCAGTAGTAGTACCAGTAGTTGTTCCAGTAGTTGTACCAGTAGTTGTTCCAGTTGTAGTTCCTGTAGTTGTTCCTGTTGTTGTGGTCTCTGAATAAGGTAGTAAAAAAATTGAATTGAATATTTGTGCATAAATTTTTTGGTTTTTTTTAGGTTTAAACAAAATTAATTTACAAACCTTCCTCAGAACAAGCCAATATTGTTACTTGTGTTTTTACTGGTTCATTTGGAATGACCTTTGTGAATGTTAAAGTGACTGTGGTAGCAAGTGTGAGACTGAATTTTTGTGGTAAATTGTCTGGTGAATAGCCTGTATCTGGTTGTTCAATTCCTTGTGAATCCTTAACAATTACATCATTGCCATCCTTATCAGTGAATCTGATTGTAACTTTTTCTACATTGTCTGGTGATTTCAATGTAACTCTATCAATTTCAACATTATCTCCTTCAGATACTCTGATTGTGACTGTTGGGTTTTCGTCATTTACACTTTCCCATAATGTTGGAGAAGTTGGGATAATGTCTTGTGGATTTCCGCTTGATACTGTAATATCATCAGGTTGAATGACCTTGTCATCATCCATGATTTCTTGACAATAAGTGACTGTTGTTGTTGATGGAGAGGTGGTTGTACCACTTGTTGTTCCAGTTGTTGTTCCAGTTGTTGTTCCAGTTGTTGTACCAGTGGTTGTTCCAGTGGTTGTTCCTGTTGTTGTTGTTTCTAAAAAGTAAGAATAGAGCACAAGTAGAAAATTTTACATTTTAAAAAAAAATTTATATGCTGATTGATTAATGTAAAAAATATATAAATATATACATATCTATATATGTAAAATAAAAAACAAAAAGACAATTTACCTGGTTTAACACAAGCAAGAATTTCCACTTTGGTTGTGACTGGTGTATCTTTGTCAGTTTTGGTGAAGGTCAATGTTACTTTAGTGCCCTTTGTCAATGCTAGATTATCTGGTATATCATCTGGAGAATATCCATCTTCTGGTTGATCATTTCCATCAGAATCTTTAACAGGAACATCATTGCCATCCTTATCTGTGATAGTGATCTTCACTTTGTCAACATTTTCAGGATTTATCAATGTTACTCTATCAATTTCTTCATCATCATTTTCAGATATTGTTACTGTGACAGTTGGGGTATCGTCATTATCACACTTGTCCATGGTGTATTAGATTTTGGAATAATATCTGTTGGTGTTCCACTGCTAGTTTCAATATCATCAGGTTGAATAATGCTCTCTTCATCCATGATTTCTTGACAAAGTGTTGGTGTTGTTGTTGATGGTGTTGAAGTTGTACCACTTGTAGTTTTGGTTGTTGTACAGTAGTTGTACAGTACAGTAGTAGTACCAGTAGTTGTTCCAGTAGTTGTACCAGTAGTTGTTCCAGTTGTAGTTCCTGTAGTTGTTCTGTTGTTGTTGTCTCTGAATAAGGGTAGAAAAAAATTGAATATTTGTGCATAAATTTTTTGGTTTTTTTTAGGTTTAAACAAAATTAATTTACAAACCTTCCTCAGAACAAGCCAATATTGTTACTTGTGTTTTTACTGGTTCATTTGGAATGACCTTTGTGAATGTTAAAGTGACTGTGGTAGCAAGTGTGAGACTGAATTTTTGTGGTAAATTGTCTGGTGAATAGCCTGTATCTGGTTGTTCAATTCCTTGTGAATCCTTAACAATTACATCATTGCCATCCTTATCAGTGAATCTGATTGTAACTTTTTCTACATTGTCTGGTGATTTCAATGTAACTCTATCAATTTCAACATTATCTCCTTCAGATACTCTGATTGTGACTGTTGGGTTTTCGTCATTTACACTTTCCCATAATGTTGGAGAAGTTGGGATAATGTCTTGTGGATTTCCGCTTGATACTGTAATATCATCAGGTTGAATGACCTTGTCATCATCCATGATTTCTTGACAATAAGTGACTGTTGTTGTTGATGGAGAGGTGGTTGTACCACTTGTTGTTCCAGTTGTTGTTCCAGTTGTTGTTCCAGTTGTTGTACCAGTGGTTGTTCCAGTGGTTGTTCCTGTTGTTGTTGTTTCTAAAAAGTAAGAATAGAGCACAAGTAGAAAATTTTACATTTTAAGAAAAAATTAATATGCTGATTGATTAATGTAAAAATATATATAAATATATACATATCTATATATGTAAAATAAAAAACAAAAAGACAATTTACCTGGTTTAACACAAGCAAGAATTTCCACTTTGGTTGTGACTGGTGTATCTTTGTCAGTTTTGGTGAAGGTCAATGTTACTTTAGTGCCCTTTGTCAATGCTAGATTATCTGGTATATCATCTGGAGAATATCCATCTTCTGGTTGATCATTTCCATCAGAATCTTTAACAGGAACATCATTGCCATCCTTATCTGTGATAGTGATCTTCACTTTGTCAACATTTTCAGGATTTATCAATGTTACTCTATCAATTTCTTCGTCATCATTTTCAGATATTGTTACTGTGACAGTTGGGGTATCGTCATTATCACCACTTGTCCATGGTGTATTAGATTTTGGAATAATATCTGTTGGTGTTCCACTGCTAGTTTCAATATCATCAGGTTGAATAATGCTCTCTTCATCCATGATTTCTTGACAAAGTGTTGGTGTTGTTGTTGATGGTGTTGAAGTTGTACCACTTGTAGTTTTGGTTGTTGTACCAGTAGTTGTACCAGTAGTTGTACCAGTAGTAGTACAGTAGTTGTTCCAGTTGTTGTTCCAGTTGTTGTACCAGTAGTTGTTCCAGTTGTAGTACCAGTAGTTGTACCAGTGGTTGTTCCAGTTGTTGTTCCTGTTGTTGTTCCTGTAGTAGTACCTGTAGTTGTACCAGTAGTTGTTCCTGTTGTTGTACCAGTTGTGGTACCTGTTGTTGTTCCAGTAGTTGTACCTGTTGTTGTACCTGTAGTTGTACCAGTAGTAGTACCAGTAGTTGTACCAGTAGTTGTTCCAGTTGTAGTTCCTGTAGTTGTTCCTGTTGTTGTTGTCTCTGAATAAGGGTAGAAAAAAATTGAATATTTGTGCATAAATTTTTTGGTTTTTTTTAGGTTTAAACAAAATTAATTTACAAACCTTCCTCAGAACAAGCCAATATTGTTACTTGTGTTTTTACTGGTTCATTTGGAATGACCTTTGTGAATGTTAAAGTGACTGTGGTAGCAAGTGTGAGACTGAATTTTTGTGGTAAATTGTCTGGTGAATAGCCTGTATCTGGTTGTTCAATTCCTTGTGAATCCTTAACAATTACATCATTGCCATCCTTATCAGTGAATCTGATTGTAACTTTTTCTACATTGTCTGGTGATTTCAATGTAACTCTATCAATTTCAACATTATCTCCTTCAGATACTCTGATTGTGACTGTTGGGTTTTCGTCATTTACACTTTCCCATAATGTTGGAGAAGTTGGGATAATGTCTTGTGGATTTCCGCTTGATACTGTAATATCATCAGGTTGAATGACCTTGTCATCATCCATGATTTCTTGACAATAAGTGACTGTTGTTGTTGATGGAGAGGTGGTTGTACCACTTGTTGTTCCAGTTGTTGTTCCAGTTGTTGTTCCAGTTGTTGTACCAGTGGTTGTTCCAGTGGTTGTTCCTGTTGTTGTTGTTTCTAAAAAGTAAGAATAGAGCACAAGTAGAAAATTTTACATTTTAAGAAAAAATTTATATGCTGATTGATTAATGTAAAAATATATATAAATATATACATATCTATATATGTAAAATAAAAAACAAAAAGACAATTTACCTGGTTTAACACAAGCAAGAATTTCCACTTTGGTTGTGACTGGTGTATCTTTGTCAGTTTTGGTGAAGGTCAATGTTACTTTAGTGCCCTTTGTCAATGCTAGATTATCTGGTATATCATCTGGAGAATATCCATCTTCTGGTTGATCATTTCCATCAGAATCTTTAACAGGAACATCATTGCCATCCTTATCTGTGATAGTGATCTTCACTTTGTCAACATTTTCAGGATTTATCAATGTTACTCTATCAATTTCTTCATCATCATTTTCAGATATTGTTACTGTGACAGTTGGGGTATCGTCATTATCACCACTTGTCCATGGTGTATTAGATTTTGGAATAATATCTGTTGGTGTTCCACTGCTAGTTTCAATATCATCAGGTTGAATAATGCTCTCTTCATCCATGATTTCTTGACAAAGTGTTGGTGTTGTTGTTGATGGTGTTGAAGTTGTACCACTTGTAGTTTTGGTTGTTGTACCAGTAGTTGTACAGTAGTAGTACCAGTAGTAGTACCAGTAGTTGTTCCAGTAGTTGTACCAGTAGTTGTTCCAGTTGTAGTTCCTGTAGTTGTTCCTGTTGTTGTTGTCTCTGAATAAGGGTAGAAAAAAATTGAATATTTGTGCATAAATTTTTTGGTTTTTTTTAGGTTTAAACAAAATTAATTTACAAACCTTCCTCAGAACAAGCCAATATTGTTACTTGTTTTTACTGGTTCATTTGAATTTTGTGAATGTTAAAGTGACTGTGGTAGCAAGTGTGAGACTGAATTTTTGTGGTAAATTGTCTGGTGAATAGCCTGTATCTGGTTGTTCAATTCCTTGTGAATCCTTAACAATTACATCATTGCCATCCTTATCAGTGAATCTGATTGTAACTTTTTCTACATTGTCTGGTGATTTCAATGTAACTCTATCAATTTCAACATTATCTCCTTCAGATACTCTGATTGTGACTGTTGGGTTTTCGTCATTTACACTTTCCCATAATGTTGGAGAAGTTGGGATAATGTCTTGTGGATTTCCGCTTGATACTGTAATATCATCAGGTTGAATGACCTTGTCATCATCCATGATTTCTTGACAATAAGTGACTGTTGTTGTTGATGGAGAGGTGGTTGTACCACTTGTTGTTCCAGTTGTTGTTCCAGTTGTTGTTCCAGTTGTTGTACCAGTGGTTGTTCCAGTGGTTGTTCCTGTTGTTGTTGTTTCTAAAAAGTAAGAATAGAGCACAAGTAGAAAATTTTACATTTTAAGAAAAAAATTTATATGCTGATTGATTAATGTAAAAATATATATAAATATATACATATCTATATATGTAAAATAAAAAACAAAAAGACAATTTACCTGGTTTAACACAAGCAAGAATTTCCACTTTGGTTGTGACTGGTGTATCTTTGTCAGTTTTGGTGAAGGTCAATGTTACTTTAGTGCCCTTTGTCAATGCTAGATTATCTGGTATATCATCTGGAGAATATCCATCTTCTGGTTGATCATTTCCATCAGAATCTTTAACAGGAACATCATTGCCATCCTTATCTGTGATAGTGATCTTCACTTTGTCAACATTTTCAGGATTTATCAATGTTACTCTATCAATTTCTTCATCATCATTTTCAGATATTGTTACTGTGACAGTTGGGGTATCGTCATTATCACCACTTGTCCATGGTGTATTAGATTTTGGAATAATATCTGTTGGTGTTCCACTGCTAGTTTCAATATCATCAGGTTGAATAATGCTCTCTTCATCCATGATTTCTTGACAAAGTGTTGGTGTTGTTGTTGATGGTGTTGAAGTTGTACCACTTGTAGTTTTGGTTGTTGTACCAGTAGTTGTACCAGTAGTAGTACCAGTAGTAGTACCAGTAGTTGTTCCAGTAGTTGTACCAGTAGTTGTTCCAGTTGTAGTTCCTGTAGTTGTTCCTGTTGTTGTTGTCTCTGAATAAGGGTAGAAAAAAATTGAATATTTGTGCATAAATTTTTTGGTTTTTTTTAGGTTTAAACAAAATTAATTTACAAACCTTCCTCAGAACAAGCCAATATTGTTACTTGTGTTTTTACTGGTTCATTTGGAATGACCTTTGTGAATGTTAAAGTGACTGTGGTAGCAAGTGTGAGACTGAATTTTTGTGGTAAATTGTCTGGTGAATAGCCTGTATCTGGTTGTTCAATTCCTTGTGAATCCTTAACAATTACATCATTGCCATCCTTATCAGTGAATCTGATTGTAACTTTTTCTACATTGTCTGGTGATTTCAATGTAACTCTATCAATTTCAACATTATCTCCTTCAGATACTCTGATTGTGACTGTTGGGTTTTCGTCATTTACACTTTCCCATAATGTTGGAGAAGTTGGGATAATGTCTTGTGGATTTCCGCTTGATACTGTAATATCATCAGGTTGAATGACCTTGTCATCATCCATGATTTCTTGACAATAAGTGACTGTTGTTGTTGATGGAGAGGTGGTTGTACCACTTGTTGTTCCAGTTGTTGTTCCAGTTGTTGTTCCAGTTGTTGTACCAGTGGTTGTTCCAGTGGTTGTTCCTGTTGTTGTTGTTTCTAAAAAGTAAGAATAGAGCACAAGTAGAAAATTTTACATTTTAAGAAAAAAATTTATATGCTGATTGATTAATGTAAAAATATATATAAATATATACATATCTATATATGTAAAATAAAAAACAAAAAGACAATTTACCTGGTTTAACACAAGCAAGAATTTCCACTTTGGTTGTGACTGGTGTATCTTTGTCAGTTTTGGTGAAGGTCAATGTTACTTTAGTGCCCTTTGTCAATGCTAGATTATCTGGTATATCATCTGGAGAATATCCATCTTCTGGTTGATCATTTCCATCAGAATCTTTAACAGGAACATCATTGCCATCCTTATCTGTGATAGTGATCTTCACTTTGTCAACATTTTCAGGATTTATCAATGTTACTCTATCAATTTCTTCATCATCATTTTCAGATATTGTTACTGTGACAGTTGGGGTATCGTCATTATCACCACTTGTCCATGGTGTATTAGATTTTGGAATAATATCTGTTGGTGTTCCACTGCTAGTTTCAATATCATCAGGTTGAATAATGCTCTCTTCATCCATGATTTCTTGACAAAGTGTTGGTGTTGTTGTTGATGGTGTTGAAGTTGTACCACTTGTAGTTTTGGTTGTTGTACCAGTAGTTGTACCAGTAGTAGTACCAGTAGTAGTACCAGTAGTTGTTCCAGTAGTTGTACCAGTAGTTGTTCCAGTTGTAGTTCCTGTAGTTGTTCCTGTTGTTGTTGTCTCTGAATAAGGGTAGAAAAAAATTGAATATTTGTGCATAAATTTTTTGGTTTTTTTTAGGTTTAAACAAAATTAATTTACAAACCTTCCTCAGAACAAGCCAATATTGTTACTTGTGTTTTTACTGGTTCATTTGGAATGACCTTTGTGAATGTTAAAGTGACTGTGGTAGCAAGTGTGAGACTGAATTTTTGTGGTAAATTGTCTGGTGAATAGCCTGTATCTGGTTGTTCAATTCCTTGTGAATCCTTAACAATTACATCATTGCCATCCTTATCAGTGAATCTGATTGTAACTTTTTCTACATTGTCTGGTGATTTCAATGTAACTCTATCAATTTCAACATTATCTCCTTCAGATACTCTGATTGTGACTGTTGGGTTTTCGTCATTTACACTTTCCCATAATGTTGGAGAAGTTGGGATAATGTCTTGTGGATTTCCGCTTGATACTGTAATATCATCAGGTTGAATGACCTTGTCATCATCCATGATTTCTTGACAATAAGTGACTGTTGTTGTTGATGGAGAGGTGGTTGTACCACTTGTTGTTCCAGTTGTTGTTCCAGTTGTTGTTCCAGTTGTTGTTCCAGTTGTTGTACCAGTGGTTGTTCCAGTGGTTGTTCCTGTTGTTGTTGTTTCTAAAAAGTAAGAATAGAGCACAAGTAGAAAATTTTACATTTTAAGAAAAAAATTTATATGCTGATTGATTAATGTAAAAATATATATAAATATATACATATCTATATATGTAAAATAAAAAACAAAAAGACAATTTACCTGGTTTAACACAAGCAAGAATTTCCACTTTGGTTGTGACTGGTGTATCTTTGTCAGTTTTGGTGAAGGTCAATGTTACTTTAGTGCCCTTTGTCAATGCTAGATTATCTGGTATATCATCTGGAGAATATCCATCTTCTGGTTGATCATTTCCATCAGAATCTTTAACAGGAACATCATTGCCATCCTTATCTGTGATAGTGATCTTCACTTTGTCAACATTTTCAGGATTTATCAATGTTACTCTATCAATTTCTTCATCATCATTTTCAGATATTGTTACTGTGACAGTTGGGGATATCGTCATTATCACCACTTGTCCATGGTGTATTAGATTTTGGAATAATATCTGTTGGTGTTCCACTGCTAGTTTCAATATCATCAGGTTGAATAATGCTCTCTTCATCCATGATTTCTTGACAAAGTGTTGGTGTTGTTGTTGATGGTGTTGAAGTTGTACCACTTGTAGTTTTGGTTGTTGTACCAGTAGTTGTACCAGTAGTAGTACCAGTAGTAGTACCAGTAGTTGTTCCAGTAGTTGTACCAGTAGTTGTTCCAGTTGTAGTTCCTGTAGTTGTTCCTGTTGTTGTTGTCTCTGAATAAGGGTAGAAAAAAATTGAATATTTGTGCATAAATTTTTTGGTTTTTTTTAGGTTTAAACAAAATTAATTTACAAACCTTCCTCAGAACAAGCCAATATTGTTACTTGTGTTTTTACTGGTTCATTTGGAATGACCTTTGTGAATGTTAAAGTGACTGTGGTAGCAAGTGTGAGACTGAATTTTTGTGGTAAATTGTCTGGTGAATAGCCTGTATCTGGTTGTTCAATTCCTTGTGAATCCTTAACAATTACATCATTGCCATCCTTATCAGTGAATCTGATTGTAACTTTTTCTACATTGTCTGGTGATTTCAATGTAACTCTATCAATTTCAACATTATCTCCTTCAGATACTCTGATTGTGACTGTTGGGTTTTCGTCATTTACACTTTCCCATAATGTTGGAGAAGTTGGGATAATGTCTTGTGGATTTCCGCTTGATACTGTAATATCATCAGGTTGAATGACCTTGTCATCATCCATGATTTCTTGACAATAAGTGACTGTTGTTGTTGATGGAGAGGTGGTTGTACCACTTGTTGTTCCAGTTGTTGTTCCAGTTGTTGTTCCAGTTGTTGTTCCAGTTGTTGTACCAGTGGTTGTTCCAGTGGTTGTTCCTGTTGTTGTTGTTTCTAAAAAGTAAGAATAGAGCACAAGTAGAAAATTTTACATTTTAAGAAAAAAATTTATATGCTGATTGATTAATGTAAAAATATATATAAATATATACATATCTATATATGTAAAATAAAAAACAAAAAGACAATTTACCTGGTTTAACACAAGCAAGAATTTCCACTTTGGTTGTGACTGGTGTATCTTTGTCAGTTTTGGTGAAGGTCAATGTTACTTTAGTGCCCTTTGTCAATGCTAGATTATCTGGTATATCATCTGGAGAATATCCATCTTCTGGTTGATCATTTCCATCAGAATCTTTAACAGGAACATCATTGCCATCCTTATCTGTGATAGTGATCTTCACTTTGTCAACATTTTCAGGATTTATCAATGTTACTCTATCAATTTCTTCATCATCATTTTCAGATATTGTTACTGTGACAGTTGGGGTATCGTCATTATCACCACTTGTCCATGGTGTATTAGATTTTGGAATAATATCTGTTGGTGTTCCACTGCTAGTTTCAATATCATCAGGTTGAATAATGCTCTCTTCATCCATGATTTCTTGACAAAGTGTTGGTGTTGTTGTTGATGGTGTTGAAGTTGTACCACTTGTAGTTTTGGTTGTTGTACCAGTAGTTGTACCAGTAGTTGTACCAGTAGTAGTACCAGTAGTTGTTCCAGTTGTTGTTCCAGTTGTTGTACCAGTAGTTGTTCCAGTTGTAGTACCAGTAGTTGTACCAGTGGTTGTTCCAGTTGTTGTTCCTGTTGTTGTTCCTGTAGTAGTACCTGTAGTTGTACCAGTAGTTGTTCCTGTTGTTGTACCAGTTGTGGTACCTGTTGTTGTTCCAGTAGTTGTACCTGTTGTTGTACCTGTAGTTGTACCAGTAGTAGTACCAGTAGTTGTACCAGTAGTTGTTCCAGTTGTAGTTCCTGTAGTTGTTCCTGTTGTTGTTGTCTCTGAATAAGGGTAGAAAAAATTGAATATTTGTGCATAAATTTTTTGGTTTTTTTTAGGTTTAAACAAAATTAATTTACAAACCTTCCTCAGAACAAGCCAATATTGTTACTTGTGTTTTTACTGGTTCATTTGGAATGACCTTTGTGAATGTTAAAGTGACTGTGGTAGCAAGTGTGAGACTGAATTTTTGTGGTAAATTGTCTGGTGAATAGCCTGTATCTGGTTGTTCAATTCCTTGTGAATCCTTAACAATTACATCATTGCCATCCTTATCAGTGAATCTGATTGTAACTTTTTCTACATTGTCTGGTGATTTCAATGTAACTCTATCAATTTCAACATTATCTCCTTCAGATACTCTGATTGTGACTGTTGGGTTTTCGTCATTTACACTTTCCCATAATGTTGGAGAAGTTGGGATAATGTCTTGTGGATTTCCGCTTGATACTGTAATATCATCAGGTTGAATGACCTTGTCATCATCCATGATTTCTTGACAATAAGTGACTGTTGTTGTTGATGGAGAGGTGGTTGTACCACTTGTTGTTCCAGTTGTTGTTCCAGTTGTTGTTCCAGTTGTTGTACCAGTGGTTGTTCCAGTGGTTGTTCCTGTTGTTGTTGTTTCTAAAAAGTAAGAATAGAGCACAAGTAGAAAATTTTACATTTTAAGAAAAAAATTTATATGCTGATTGATTAATGTAAAAATATATATAAATATATACATATCTATATATGTAAAATAAAAAACAAAAAGACAATTTACCTGGTTTAACACAAGCAAGAATTTCCACTTTGGTTGTGACTGGTGTATCTTTGTCAGTTTTGGTGAAGGTCAATGTTACTTTAGTGCCCTTTGTCAATGCTAGATTATCTGGTATATCATCTGGAGAATATCCATCTTCTGGTTGATCATTTCCATCAGAATCTTTAACAGGAACATCATTGCCATCCTTATCTGTGATAGTGATCTTCACTTTGTCAACATTTTCAGGATTTATCAATGTTACTCTATCAATTTCTTCATCATCATTTTCAGATATTGTTACTGTGACAGTTGGGGTATCGTCATTATCACCACTTGTCCATGGTGTATTAGATTTTGGAATAATATCTGTTGGTGTTCCACTGCTAGTTTCAATATCATCAGGTTGAATAATGCTCTCTTCATCCATGATTTCTTGACAAAGTGTTGGTGTTGTTGTTGATGGGTGTTGAAGTTGTACCACTTGTAGTTTTGGTTGTTTGTACCAGTAGTTGTGTACCAGTAGTTAGTACCAGTAGTAGTACCAGTAGTTGCAGTAGTTGTACCAGTAGTTGTACCAGTAGTTGTTCCAGTTGTAGTTCCTGTAGTTGTTCCTGTTGTTGTTGTCTCTGAATAAGGGTAGAAAAAAATTGAATATTTGTGCATAAATTTTTTGGTTTTTTTTAGGTTTAAACAAAATTAATTTACAAACCTTCCTCAGAACAAGCCAATATTGTTACTTGTGTTTTTACTGGTTCATTTGGAATGACCTTTGTGAATGTTAAAGTGACTGTGGTAGCAAGTGTGAGACTGAATTTTTGTGGTAAATTGTCTGGTGAATAGCCTGTATCTGGTTGTTCAATTCCTTGTGAATCCTTAACAATTACATCATTGCCATCCTTATCAGTGAATCTGATTGTAACTTTTTCTACATTGTCTGGTGATTTCAATGTAACTCTATCAATTTCAACATTATCTCCTTCAGATACTCTGATTGTGACTGTTGGGTTTTCGTCATTTACACTTTCCCATAATGTTGGAGAAGTTGGGATAATGTCTTGTGGATTTCCGCTTGATACTGTAATATCATCAGGTTGAATGACCTTGTCATCATCCATGATTTCTTGACAATAAGTGACTGTTGTTGTTGATGGAGAGGTGGTTGTACCACTTGTTGTTCCAGTTGTTGTTCCAGTTGTTGTTCCAGTTGTTGTTCCAGTTGTTGTACCAGTGGTTGTTCCAGTGGTTGTTCCTGTTGTTGTTGTTTCTAAAAAGTAAGAATAGAGCACAAGTAGAAAATTTTACATTTTAAGAAAAAAATTTATATGCTGATTGATTAATGTAAAAATATATATAAATATATACATATCTATATATGTAAAATAAAAAACAAAAAGACAATTTACCTGGTTTAACACAAGCAAGAATTTCCACTTTGGTTGTGACTGGTGTATCTTTGTCAGTTTTGGTGAAGGTCAATGTTACTTTAGTGCCCTTTGTCAATGCTAGATTATCTGGTATATCATCTGGAGAATATCCATCTTCTGGTTGATCATTTCCATCAGAATCTTTAACAGGAACATCATTGCCATCCTTATCTGTGATAGTGATCTTCACTTTGTCAACATTTTCAGGATTTATCAATGTTACTCTATCAATTTCTTCATCATCATTTTCAGATATTGTTACTGTGACAGTTGGGGTATCGTCATTATCACCACTTGTCCATGGTGTATTAGATTTTGGAATAATATCTGTTGGTGTTCCACTGCTAGTTTCAATATCATCAGGTTGAATAATGCTCTCTTCATCCATGATTTCTTGACAAAGTGTTGGTGTTGTTGTTGATGGTGTTGAAGTTGTACCACTTGTAGTTTTGGTTGTTGTACCAGTAGTTGTACCAGTAGTTGTACCAGTAGTAGTACCAGTATGTTGTTCCAGTTGTTGTACCAGTAGTTGTTCCAGTTGTAGTACCAGTAGTTGTACCAGTGGTTGTTCCAGTTGTTGTTCCTGTTGTTGTTCCTGTAGTAGTACCTGTAGTTGTACAGTAGTTGTTCCTGTTGTTGTACCAGTTGTGGTACTGTTGTTGTTCCAGTAGTTGTACCTGTTGTTGTACCTGTAGTTGTACCAGTAGTAGTACAGTAGTTGTACCAGTAGTTGTTCCAGTTGTAGTTCCTGTAGTTGTTCCTGTTGTTGTTGTCTCTGAATAAGGGTAGAAAAAATTGAATATTTGTGCATAAATTTTTTGGTTTTTTTTAGGTTTAAACAAAATTAATTTACAAACCTTCCTCAGAACAAGCCAATATTGTTACTTGTGTTTTTACTGGTTCATTTGGAATGACCTTTGTGAATGTTAAAGTGACTGTGGTAGCAAGTGTGAGACTGAATTTTTGTGGTAAATTGTCTGGTGAATAGCCTGTATCTGGTTGTTCAATTCCTTGTGAATCCTTAACAATTACATCATTGCCATCCTTATCAGTGAATCTGATTGTAACTTTTTCTACATTGTCTGGTGATTTCAATGTAACTCTATCAATTTCAACATTATCTCCTTCAGATACTCTGATTGTGACTGTTGGGTTTTCGTCATTTACACTTTCCCATAATGTTGGAGAAGTTGGGATAATGTCTTGTGGATTTCCGCTTGATACTGTAATATCATCAGGTTGAATGACCTTGTCATCATCCATGATTTCTTGACAATAAGTGACTGTTGTTGTTGATGGAGAGGTGGTTGTACCACTTGTTGTTCCAGTTGTTGTTCCAGTTGTTGTTCCAGTTGTTGTACCAGTGGTTGTTCCAGTGGTTGTTCCTGTTGTTGTTGTTTCTAAAAAGTAAGAATAGAGCACAAGTAGAAAATTTTACATTTTAAGAAAAAATTTATATGCTGATTGATTAATGTAAAAATATATATAAATATATACATATCTATATATGTAAAATAAAAAACAAAAAGACAATTTACCTGGTTTAACACAAGCAAGAATTTCCACTTTGGTTGTGACTGGTGTATCTTTGTCAGTTTTGGTGAAGGTCAATGTTACTTTAGTGCCCTTTGTCAATGCTAGATTATCTGGTATATCATCTGGAGAATATCCATCTTCTGGTTGATCATTTCCATCAGAATCTTTAACAGGAACATCATTGCCATCCTTATCTGTGATAGTGATCTTCACTTTGTCAACATTTTCAGGATTTATCAATGTTACTCTATCAATTTCTTCATCATCATTTTCAGATATTGTTACTGTGACAGTTGGGGTATCGTCATTATCACCACTTGTCCATGGTGTATTAGATTTTGGAATAATATCTGTTGGTGTTCCACTGCTAGTTTCAATATCATCAGGTTGAATAATGCTCTCTTCATCCATGATTTCTTGACAAAGTGTTGGTGTTGTTGTTGATGGTGTTGAAGTTGTACCACTTGTAGTTTTGGTTGTTGTACCAGTAGTTGTACCAGTAGTAGTACCAGTAGTAGTACCAGTAGTTGTTCCAGTAGTTGTACCAGTAGTTGTTCCAGTTGTAGTTCCTGTAGTTGTTCCTGTTGTTGTTGTCTCTGAATAAGGGTAGAAAAAAATTGAATATTTGTGCATAAATTTTTTGGTTTTTTTTAGGTTTAAACAAAATTAATTTACAAACCTTCCTCAGAACAAGCCAATATTGTTACTTGTGTTTTTACTGGTTCATTTGGAATGACCTTTGTGAATGTTAAAGTGACTGTGGTAGCAAGTGTGAGACTGAATTTTTGTGGTAAATTGTCTGGTGAATAGCCTGTATCTGGTTGTTCAATTCCTTGTGAATCCTTAACAATTACATCATTGCCATCCTTATCAGTGAATCTGATTGTAACTTTTTCTACATTGTCTGGTGATTTCAATGTAACTCTATCAATTTCAACATTATCTCCTTCAGATACTCTGATTGTGACTGTTGGGTTTTCGTCATTTACACTTTCCCATAATGTTGGAGAAGTTGGGATAATGTCTTGTGGATTTCCGCTTGATACTGTAATATCATCAGGTTGAATGACCTTGTCATCATCCATGATTTCTTGACAATAAGTGACTGTTGTTGTTGATGGAGAGGTGGTTGTACCACTTGTTGTTCCAGTTGTTGTTCCAGTTGTTGTTCCAGTTGTTGTTCCAGTTGTTGTACCAGTGGTTGTTCCAGTGGTTGTTCCTGTTGTTGTTGTTTCTAAAAAGTAAGAATAGAGCACAAGTAGAAAATTTTACATTTTAAGAAAAAAATTTATATGCTGATTGATTAATGTAAAAATATATATAAATATATACATATCTATATATGTAAAATAAAAAACAAAAAGACAATTTACCTGGTTTAACACAAGCAAGAATTTCCACTTTGGTTGTGACTGGTGTATCTTTGTCAGTTTTGGTGAAGGTCAATGTTACTTTAGTGCCCTTTGTCAATGCTAGATTATCTGGTATATCATCTGGAGAATATCCATCTTCTGGTTGATCATTTCCATCAGAATCTTTAACAGGAACATCATTGCCATCCTTATCTGTGATAGTGATCTTCACTTTGTCAACATTTTCAGGATTTATCAATGTTACTCTATCAATTTCTTCATCATCATTTTCAGATATTGTTACTGTGACAGTTGGGGTATCGTCATTATCACCACTTGTCCATGGTGTATTAGATTTTGGAATAATATCTGTTGGTGTTCCACTGCTAGTTTCAATATCATCAGGTTGAATAATGCTCTCTTCATCCATGATTTCTTGACAAAGTGTTGGTGTTGTTGTTGATGGTGTTGAAGTTGTACCACTTGTAGTTTTGGTTGTTGTACCAGTAGTTGTACCAGTAGTTGTTCCAGTTGTTGTTCCAGTTGTTGTACCAGTAGTTGTTCCAGTTGTAGTACCAGTAGTTGTACCAGTGGTTGTTGTCTCTAAATAAGTGTAGAAAAAAATTGATTATTTGTGTATGAATTTTTTTTTTTTAGGTTTAAACAAAATTAGTTTTCAAACCTTCTTCAGAACAGGCTAAAATAGAGAGTTGTGTTTTTACTGGTTCATTTGGAATGACCTTTGTGAATGTTAAAGTTACTGTGGTAGCAAGTGTGAGACTGAATTTTTGTGGTAAATTGTCTGGTGAATAGCCTGTATCTGGTTGTTCAATTCCTTGTGAATCCCTAACCATGATATCATTGCCATCCTTATCAGTGAATCTGATTTTAACTTTTTCTATATTTTCGTGATTTAATAAAGTAACCCTATCAATTTCAACATTATCTCCTTCAGATACTCTGATTGTGACTGTTGGGTTTTCGTCATTTACACTTTCCCATAATGTTGGAGAAGTTGGGATAATGTCTTGTGGATTTCCACTTGATACTGTAATATCATCAGGTTGAATGACCTTGTCATCATCCATGATTTCTTGACAATATGTGACTGTTGTTGTTGATGGAGAGGTGGTTGTACCACTTGTTGTTCCAGTTGTTGTTCCAGTTGTTGTTCCAGTTGTTGTACCAGTGGTTGTTCCTGTTGTTGTTGTTTCTAAAAAGTAAGAATAGAGCACAAGTAGAAAATTTTACATTTTAAGAAAAAAATTAATATGCTGATTGATTAATGTAAAAATATATATAAATATATACATATCTATATATGTAAAATAATAAACAAAAAGACAATTTACCTGGTTTAACACAAGCAAGAATTTCCACTTTGGTTGTGACTGGTGTATCTTTGTCAGTTTTGGTGAAGGTCAATGTTACTTTAGTGCCCTTTGTCAATGCTAGATTATCTGGTATATCATCTGGAGAATATCCATCTTCTGGTTGATCATTTCCATCAGAATCTTTAACAGGAACATCATTGCCATCCTTATCTGTGATAGTGATCTTCACTTTGTCAACATTTTCAGGATTTATCAATGTTACTCTATCAATTTCTTCATCATCATTTTCAGATATTGTTACTGTGACAGTTGGGATATCGTCATTATCACCACTTGTCCATGGTGTATTAGATTTTGGAATAATATCTGTTGGTGTTCCACTGCTAGTTTCAATATCATCAGGTTGAATAATGCTCTCTTCATCCATGATTTCTTGACAAAGTGTTGGTGTTGTTGTTGATGGTGTTGAAGTTGTACCACTGGTAGTTTTGGTTGTTGTACGAGTAGTTGTACCTGTAGTAGTTTCAGTAGTAGTACCAGTAGTTGTTTCAGTTGTAGTTCCAGTGGTTGTACCAGAAGTGGTGAATGTTGTTGTTGCAGTTGTTGTTGATGTTGTTGCTATTTTGTGAAGTGTGATAATGAGTTATATATTATGTTAGAGAGAATATTTAATTACTTTTTTGATAGCAGGCATGAACTTTCAAGTTTGATATTTCTTGCTGTCCTCCACCACTTCCTGGAAATCCTGTTTGAACTAACTTGATCTTCAGTGTTGTAGTGCCTTGAACTTTAGGAATATCTAGTTGTATTGTAGTTGCCACAGGAGTATTTCCATTTGTCAGAATTGTTTTTGCCTGAAAATATTCTTTTACTGTTGTTCTGTGGTTTTTTTTAGGCCAACAGAAAATGTCCCTTAGTGAGATATTCGAAAACCATTTTTGTGAATGTAAAAGTGCAGGAGGAAGTAAAGTAGTGTTTGATCGGTAAGCAGGATAGGTTTTTTTAAGGGTGACAGACAATGATGAATGTTAGACATAGATAAGGGCTTTTTGAGGTTTAGGGTAAAGTCAAGCACTATGGGAAATTTTCTGTGGCTGCCATTTTTACCTGTGTATATTGATTATCAAATTCTAACTCTATTTCAGAAGCATATTTTGTTTCAAGAAATATTTCTGCAAATGTTTCAGCAGAGTTAGTGAGTGTTATTGTTATAATTGTGTCCTCTAAATCAGCAGCTTGATATCCAATATCATCAAATAAATGACTGCTCTCTCTGCCAGGTGTTGAAGGTTTTGTTAAAGAGTAAATCATATCTCCTTCAGTGTAAACATCACGCATATTTTCTTGTGAACATATTTCTGTAGAGAAAAGGCTTTTTAGTGAACAAGTTGTAAATATAGAAGTTAAAAGCAAAGTCACAACGTGAAGGGCAATATGTAATTTTATAACAGTATTTCATGCGGTGCAATATTTTAATAAAAATGAATAAATAGAAATATATATTTAAAAATAATATTGACTTGGTGAAGATGTTGTAGTAATCGTAGTTGATGTGGAAGTTGTTGAGCATCCTTTTTCATCCTCTCCATTTTCGCAATCCATTTCGCCATCACAGATCTTGTCTAGTGGTAAACATTTCTTTTTTATGCCAACAAAGTAGCAGTTTTCCATTGGTTTCGTCCCTTCTTCACATTCTAAAAGATTTCAATTTTTACACAATAAGTCAATTAGAAAGTTAGAGAATGAGGTATCGAATTAAAATAATAAATGATATTTATATATATATATATATATATATATATTTATATATGTGTTTATGCCTATATACATATATGTATATACGGTTATTTTGTAGCCCCATTCTCATCTAATTAACAACAACAGCAAACTGACCACAATCAGTTTCATCATCGCATTCCTCATGGCAATCACAAATGCCATTGCAACGAGTACTTGGTGGTAAACATAATTTTGAGACTGCACATTCATAGAAACCGTTTGCACATTGACTTGTAGTGGTACCTGGCGTTGTTGTAGTTGTTGTAGCAGTGGTTGATTGCGTTGTAGTTGTATGATAACATGCCCTAAGTAACAAATTCTCAAAACTTACAAATCCAGAACCGATTTTTTCCAGCACTTTTATCTCAAAGAATTGAGATTTTACTGGTGGTTTTATATCCATTATTAATTCTGCTTTATTAGAGCTATCCACTGTCATTGGTATCTATAATGATATTATTAGCTTGAGTGTTTATTTAATAATCCATTTATTTTTTACCTCTGGACTAATACCACCAGCTGTAATAAACTGAACTCTTTTTATATTTGCTGTTTTGAATGCAATATGAGTAATTTGGTCGACCTCAACATTGAAATCAATTCTCAAGGCAATATTATTTCCAGATATTATGCTGGCTGAATTGCTCTTCTCAAATGCTGATTTGGCATCAACTGAATATGCCTCTGCTCCAACAGATGTCAAAGTTGCACTTACAAGATTAACATTTTCGTAGTTAAATGCATCGCACAGTTCAGGTTCTATTAAAAAATAATTTTAAGTTAATGAATATAAAATGAGTGATATTTTACTTGTTGTTGTTGCTGTTGTTGATCCAGTGCTTGTTGTTGAAGGTTTTCCACAAGCTATAATATCAAAATTTTTAATCTTGGGTATTCCTGAAGTAGCTTTCAAAATGAGAGTCAATTTTACAGCCTTTAAACCATCTAATGTTAATATTGAAGGGCTCCAAAAGCCTTGTTCACTTGGTGCTTCAATCTAGAAAATATCAATATTAAAACAAAATATAAAATTTGTAATTTTGATCTAGTCTTTGTAAATACCTCTTGTGGAACATCCATCTCGTCCTGTCCAGCTAACTTGACTCTATACTGAAGAGTTTTTACATCACCCAGTAGAAGGGAGTAACTTCCAATATAAATACTTCCATCATTGGGCTGAAGTTCAAAGGACCATTCTGCTACTCCATCGGCCATATCTTCAACTGTGGGTAAAAATACTGCACCTGAACCGGCAAGGGCGTTTATAGATGTAGCAGAATTTGATGTAGCAGATGTTATAATATTCTCGGTGTTCACATTATATTGTATATCCTCACAAATGCCTATTTAAAATGACATTTTTCTTTATTTTCATGTTTAATATAGATTATGTAATTGTAATCGTACTTGATGTTGTGGTAGCTGTTGTGCTTGTTGTTGTTGTTTCTGGTACATGACAAACCTTCCCGAATAGATTAAAGACTTCGATAGGTTGACCAGATGTTTTGGCAAATAGCTCTATCTCTATTTTTCCTATAGGTATTCCTGATGGAGAAATATGTAGAATACATTTATCACCATTGTAACTTCCAGAAGTATCCAGCTAAAAGAAAAATATTAGAATATGAGATTTTTAAAAACAGCTTATTAACTCACATATTGCTTTTCCATTTCTGTTCCATCTTCTAATGTCACTTTGAAACTAAATTTGTTGATATTGCGAGCGAAAAATTCAAATTGATACAGGGTATTATCACCATCCATACTTGGTTTCAAAACTAGTTGTACAATGTCATTTATTTCCGAATAACTTGTACCAAAGCCCTATTGTTAGAAAATCTTAATAGGTAAAATCTGATAAAAAATTTATCTGTTACCGATAAGGCAGCTTGTAAAGTGGCATCGTTGTTAGTCGAACTGGACACATCGAGAGAAGTTGGACTGGCCGAGTTGTAATCGTATACAGTTCCATCAACACAGATTTGTGATGTGGTTGTTCCTGTTGTAGTACCAGTTGTAGTACCAGTTGTAGTACCAGTTGTAGTACCAGTTGTTGTGCCAGTTGTAGTACCAGTTGTAGTACCAGTTGTTGTGCCAGTTGTAGTACCAGTTGTAGTACCAGTTGTTGTGCCAGTTGTAGTACCAGTTGTAGTACCAGTAGTAGTTCCAGTTGTTGTTCCGGTGGTTGTACCAGTTGTTGTTCCAGTGGTTGTTGTTGGTTCTGTGTGACAAACTTTGACTTCAAAATCCTTAACGAGAATAGATGGTGCTCCATCGACTCGAAGCATTGTGATTTTTAGGGAGCTTAGAACAAATCCGTCAAGGTTTAATGCAATAGTCAACCAAGCATTTTGGTTACTTGGCACTCCCTATAGAAAAGTTAAGATATTTTAAAGACTAAAAGACAAATGGTATTTAGATAACTGAATAAATACCGTTTTAATTGGAGTGGTAGAATCTCCATTATAAATATTGTATAATTTTACATTTGTAATTGTTAATTTAAGTTTAATAATTCTTGTTTCTCCAAGCATATTTGGTGTCAAAACTAATGTTAATGAGTCAGCTTCTTCCTTATAAATGTCTTCGCTTCCCTATTGGACGGAATGGTATAGTGATGAACAAATGTTTCACTGTTATAAGAATTTAATAAACCTTTAAGGCTTTGTCAGTATCAGCAAATACTGCATTCTGATTAACCAAATTTAATATATTGGATGTTTCACTATCAAAACTGTATTCAGTGCCTTGTCCTTCCAAACAAACTTGAGCTAAAATAAGTGGAAGAAATGAGTAATGAACTATGCGAATAGGTGATTTTAATTACGTTGTGTTGTTGTTGTTGTTGGTGGAGTTGTTGTTGTTGCAGTTGTTGCTGGAAAAATTGTTTAATTAATATTTTAAGATATAATTTATTAATTAATCAATCAAAGTATACTTGTAACTGGTTTGTAACAAATAACTGCACGTAGTTTTCCAATGCTAATTGGTTTGCCAGAATCATCTCTTGTGAGTGTGATAACAACCTTTCCTATTTTATAGCCATCTGAAAGGTTTGGTGAATATTTTACTTCATCTTCTGGATAATCCTGTTTGTTTACAAAATAGAATTAGATTAAGAGATATTCATCTTTCTTCTCCATTACCCTTTCGTATTGAGCTGTTGCCCCGCTTGTTAAAAAGATTTTTACAGCTAAATTTTTAACATTTTTAACGGCATATTGTAATGAAATGAGTGAATTTTCTCCGACTTGACCAGCTTGAAGAACGATTTCAACTTCATTTTTATTTTCTTCATAATATTCACCAGATCCATCAGCAATATCTGATGGAATTGCTGAGAACTCATTTTCACTTGTAAAGCTTCCTACTGATAGAGTATCCAGTGATTGGTAGTCGTAAGTCAACAAATCACCTCCATTCTCACATACTGGAGCTAGAATAAATCAGATATAAAAATATTACCATAATTATTAAATAATTAGTGTTTAATTAATGATTTTTATTTACAAGTAGTTGTTGGACTTGTTGTTGTTGTTAGTGTTGTTGTTGTTGCTGTTGTTGTTGTTGTTGGTGACGTAATACATACTTGGGCCGAAATTAATCCAACTTTAATAGAAGTGCCGTCATCTCTCTTTTCCAAAATAAGTTTAATGATACCCAAATTAATTCCAGCTTGTCCATTTAGTATTCTATCTTCTACACTTCCATCAGTGTTAGCCTGTAGTAGTTAATTTTTTATAAAATAGTCATGATGTTAGTTTGAAAATCCTACTTTTGTTGTTTGGGCGGTTCCTCCTGATTTGTATGTTATGTGCCAGTAAAATGATGCAACATTTTCAAAGCGAACTGCTATAGAGAGAACAAGAACATCTCCTTCAACGTTGGGGGAAAATTCAATTTCAACATTGTCATCGCTATTATACGAAATGTCTGTTCCTTTTAGAGCATCTTCAGCTGAAACGCCGGCAACGGAGTCAACGACGTTTAGAACTTTTGATTCAGAGTTTAAAACGGCAGGACTACCCTCCTCGCACTGATGAGCTAATAGATAAAAGTAATGTATAAGTATATATACAGATAAAAGATACTTTAAACGTACGAGTTGAAGTGGTAGTGGTAAGAGTTGTTGTGGTTTGTTCAGTTGTTGTTGATTTTTCGTGAAGACATAGATCGGCTTGGACATTTAGAACACTTAAATCTTGTTCGTTATCTCGTTTTACAACAACCAATTTCACTTCTCTTAACAATACACCAGTTCCACTACCAGTTAAAGCAGTCTCGAAAAAGGCAGAGCCTTCCTCAACACTTTTCTAAAATGTTATATTTATATTTTATAACTTTATCACCTATAATTACTATTCTGTTAATTTTACCGTTGGTTTTATTGTAGGCTCCTCAACGCCATTAAATTTAATTTCCCAATGATATTCTAGAGCGTTGATTAGTCTGACCTTAAATTTTAAGAAATATACATCTTTGTCAGAGTTTGGAAGGAATACAATAGTTATTCCTTGGTTGCTATTATATTGTGAACCAGAATTAAATAGAGCAGGGGAAAAGTCGTTTCCTGGGGCTTGTTCATCGTAGATGGTCAAACCAACTGAACCGGAAGCATACCTTTGAGGTTCGCCTTCAAGACACTCCAAGGCTATAAAAAACATTTAAAATTATTATTATTTGTCTAATGATCTTTTAGCTAAAAACTTACGTGCTGTGGTTGTTGTTGATGAAACTGTAGTGGTCGTTCCAGTTGTTGTTCCGGTTGTTGTTCCGGTTGTTGTTCCAGTTGTTGTTCCTGTTGTTGTTCCAGTTGTTGTTCCTGTTGTTGTTCCAGTTGTTGTTCCAGTTGTTGTTCCTGTTGTTGTTCCTGTTGTTGTTCCAGTTGTTGTTCCAGTTGTTGTTGATTCTGTTGTGGTAGCTTGAAAGAGAAATAAAATTGTTTTAATATAAGTTTTAATAAAACATTGAAAGGTGTTTGTGTGTTTGTGCTGTAACACATACTTATAACTTCTCCACAAACTGTTCCGCCAAGTTCTTTAATTTCAACAGGTTTGCTTGTATCGGCTGATGTTAATCTGATTTCAATTTTCTTGAAATTAAATCCTTCAGGATTGATTTTGATTGAAACTTTTACGAATTCATCGGTTGATGAAATGTCCTAAAATAGATAATAATCATTATAAAATATCTAGGTCAATTTGCCGGTGGAAAAAAGAAATTACGCACGATAGGTGTAGATGACAATGCTCCATTGGCGTCTGTGAGTAAAGCTGTTCCTCCTGCTACGTTCTTAACGAAGAAAGCTAGGCTTGACACGACATCTGGTCCATTTGAGAGAGGCTCAATTTTAAATTTTGTTTCGGCATTACCGGATACATCTCCGAATGTTTCGTCTGATCCAAGTAAGGCATCGCTCATATCAATATTGCTTGTAGAAAGAAGAGAAAGTGCTAAAACTCTATTAGTAAAATCGAAAGGATTTTGTTCTCCTCCAATCACGCAAATCTTTGGTGGAGTTGTCGTTGTTGCGGTTGTTGTTTCGGTTGTTGTTGCAGTTGTAGTTTCTGTTGTAGTTCCTGTTGTTGTTGATTCTGTTGTTGTACTTGTAAAACAGTTAATCTCATCGCTTCCATCTCCACAATCATCGTGATTATCACATCTAATATTCATTGGCATACACTCTCCTGATTGACATCTGTAATATTTGTCTGGATCACATTCCTCTGTTGTACAATTCTTCTCATCAGAGTAATCATTCATTCCGCAATCTCTATGCGAATCGCATCTAAATTCCTTTTTGATGCAAGCGCCTGACTCGCATTCAAACTCATCTTCATCACAAGTCGGTGGGTCTAGAATTTTGAAAAATTATTAATATTACTTCATGCAAGATGTAAATGATTAATAAATGCTACATACGGCAATTAAATTCATCACTGTCGTCCTGACAATCGTAGTTTCCGTCGCAATGTAATGGCATATCAATACATTGAATAGCATTCAAACAACGGAATTGACCGGGTTTACATTGGAATACTGTTCGGAATAAGATATAATTAAAAATGATGATAAATGAATAAAAGAAAGAGCAATACGTACTGCATTCTTCTTCATCGGAATTGTCTCCGCAATCATTCATTCCATCGCATTTAAATTCTATTGGGATGCATTTGTCAGTTTTGTTACACTTGAATTCGTCGTCTTTACATTCAACAACGCATGGTGTACCAAAGCATTCAAATTTAGCGTTTTTACATGTGCAATTCATACAATTATTATAAACAATAGATTCAGCTGGATATTCTTTGCCATTGTGAATACATGGACAATCTAAAGCTGGAACGCATTGATTGTTATCCAAAACTGTTCCCTGAGGACAGAAGCAGCCTTCCAAACAATGAGTATCTTGGCAGTAGGGCTCTGGTGCTTCTCCTATGTTTCTGCAGGTTTGAGGGCATGGTGGCCCGCATGGTCTGTACTCTTTACCTCCCTCGCACATAACGGGACATAAATGTTGACTTCTCCATTTTACGTAGACTCCGTTCTTATTACAAACTTCGGCAAAATTAGCAATGGCTGTGCACAAACATTCACAATCGCCTCCTCTGTTACATCCGCATGCGTCGTATTTGCATTCTTTATAATATTCAAGGAATGTAGGAACAACATCTCTGCAAGCAGCAAAGGCTGGTCCATCTGTAATGATTTTGCAAGAATCTTCAGCCCATTCTCTTCTATCTGGGAATTGTTCACAAGGATCTAATAGATCGTATGTGTGTGGTTTATCAATGTTGCCACATTTTCCAGTAACTTCCCATTGCTGGGCAAATTCAGCAACAGTTTCAGCAGTTCCGAAATCATTTGAGGCGTCATTGTCAAAGTTACCACACAAACCATTCACTTTATTCTGATGTCCTCTGCTGACGAACAAGTATACTCTGGTTCCACCATCCCATTGAACGCTTAGCCCAGAATCGTGTATATTGATTATTGTAAATAATCCAGCTGGACCAACATAAATACCGTTATATCTAAGACTATCACCATAACCTACAGTGACATTGTCAACTTTGATATCAGCTCCTTGAATCATTTCAATTGAAACTCCATTAGCTAAAATTTTGATACTCTTTGTGCATGTAACACCACCAGTCCCGCAAGCGTGGTTCTTAGCAATAACAGTAAGTTGTGATCCTTCTGTGCTTTTAAGTAAATAATATGAACAACTTCCTTGGAAAGTGTATCTCTTTCCATCGAATGTATAGTAGTGAGGATCTCCAGAAGCCCAACAAACCGCTGGACAGTCTGCTGTTGATGGTTGTTTTTCCCATAAACCACCTTTGCATACGTATGTATTGCAACCATCTTTTAAGATATCAGCTTTACCGTAATATTTATCGTTATGGAAACATGGGCAAGTATTGCTAGCAATACAATTTCCATCGTGATTTAAAACCAAACCATCTGGACATCCACAACCTTCGCGAGGTTCTTCTGGTTGGCAGTCAGCAATTCTCATGTAATCGAAGCAGGTAGCTCCACAGGTTTTTAAATCTTTTCTCCATTCTTGATTTTTTGGGCATTGTACTGAATCAGAGCAGGATTTTGTTCCGCAGTTCCAGCTGCCATTTGAGCATGTACAATTTGAACATGCTCTCCTGATAACTGATCCAGCATCTTTGTATGGATTTAGGTGATCATTTTTATCGTAACAGGTACAATCTTTAACTTGGACGCACTGTCCACGATTATCTAATCTTTGACCAGTTGGACAACCGCAACCTCCGTAGCAGTTTTTATCTTCGCAACCCAAAGGATGTTCGAAATCCATACAGCTATTGCAAGATGAGAAACATTCATCATAGACTTCGCCATTTTTACATTGATATCCGTCGATATTTTTACATTTAAGTAATAGTCCTGTGTCACCTCTCCAGTTGATTTTAACTCCTTTTTCCATACATGCCTCGGCATAGGCAGCGACAATATTACAGAATCCTAAATAGGAATTTTCATTGGCACACATATCATAATTACACATCTCTTTGTAGATTCGAGGATCGATAACGTCATGACACTCTTTTAAGACTCCTTCGTCGATAAATGCTTTGCATGTTGCATGGACTCCATCTCTTTTTTCTGTTTCAAGTGCGCATGGATCAATGTGTTGACCGACATTTGCCTTTGGAGTATCCGAACAGGTTGACTGCTTGAAGGAATTAACAAATTCGGACATAGTTGATATTGGTGCATTTGATCTTGGCACACGATCGTCGAGTGGGGAACCGTTATAGTTGCCGCATAGACCTCTAACTTTATCAGCGTAATAAGGTGATAAGTAGACGTAAATTCTTCCATTTTTATCATAGCTGACTCTAAAACCAAAACCTCTTATGGTTGTGAGTAAAGAAGTTGATCGTGTAACAGATAATTCTGGTCTATAATACGGATTTGTAGCAACATTTGAGATTTCTCTTCCGTTAATAACAGCAGCTACGTTTCTAAAAAGAAAAATATGGTTGAAAATTGATTTATTTCTCTTTTTAAACTTACCCTCCTGCAGCTTTCAAGAGTACTTTTACATCGTTGTATTGAATAAAGACTGAAATTATAGAGGGAGTGCCTAATTTACCAAAATCTTCCATTGAATAGGCAATTTGTAAATTTCCTTTTCCTTCCGTTACAACTGTGTTCCTTTCAACCAAAGTATATTGGCAATTGTCTCCTCTTAAGTCAAATGAATCTCCATCAAAAGTAGTAATATGTTGTAAACCGATGATTGAACATTTCTTAGGACATCGTTTCTTTGTGCATATCCATCTACCGTATTTACATTCGCATGTATTACAATCTGGTTTGATTACATCACCAGAAGAATATCTCTTCATTTGATAAGAACAAGAGCAATCTCTAGCTTCTACGCAAGTGTTTGTCATTTCGTCCATAAAGGTTCCAGGTTTACAAGTACATCCGGGAACGCATTGGCTATCGCAAACATCGTGTGTAGCTGGGCTGAGGATATTTCTGCAGGTTTTTTGGCAACGATCAATGCAAGGTTTGTATGTCAAACCGGCTGGACATGTTCTTGCTTTAATGGAGAAAATAGAGAGACAGAGATGATTAATTATCAATATTCATCAAAAACTACAGTGAGAAACACTTACGACATCTGACATCTGTTCTGTAGTTAATGTAAACTCCTCTTGTAGCACATTCGAAAGAATATTGGAACATAAAGTCACAAAGTGCGGCATCAATTTCATTCTTTTTTTGTTGGTCGCTCAATGAACTATGCATTATTCTACACATTTCATTAACGCAGAGATCGTAATGTCTCTTTGGCGAAAATTTACTTCTGCATGCGGAAAATGGCTCAAATTTCAATTCTCCACATTTAACCTTGGCATTACGTTCGGTACTTTCATTAAGGCATTCCGGTTGAGCATTAGGCGCATCTGGACACTAGAAAAAAGATAAAAAGTCAATACTTGAACATTCTTTTCACATTGCTAACAAAATAATGAAAAAAAATTTAAAGTTGATTGAATGCATTAGAAAAATTCAAAAAAAGCTTCAAAATTGGAAATTTGTTCAAAACTCTTCTTTCTAAAGTGCAATACTTTTTATAAATTTATCATTCAAGAGCAAACTGTGCACAAAATCGATTCAAAATTGTGGAATTCCATTAAAAGCAGTATTTGACAGCATTGACTACTACCTCTAAATTTTTCGCTTTTTTGTCCTGAAAAGTCGTTGAATGTTTAATAATAATTAATGGAAGAGAGAGAGAGATATATAAATATCATTTAGTTCTAGTATACTAATATATAATCCACTTTAACCTTAATAAAATACCAATATTTTGGTGCGTTAATATGATTTTTCATCTTGTTCAATTCAATGTGCGAATAGTTAAAAAAAAAATAGGGAAAGTTTGTGCAACCTTTTTTTAACCTTAAAATAGTTTGCAAAGGACAAAAATAAGTTATTGCTTTTTGTTCAACTTACGTTTGACGCCTTGAAGAAAGAATAGAATTGTTTTGAAATGTAGATTTATACATAATCATTAATTGATAATATATAAATTAACTTACGACTTCAGTCAAGCTGCTAACTAGGAAAGAATTTCCCATAGCTGATGGTACTCTGGCCAATACGCCGTTTCTTTGTTTCATATCGTTTAGAGCATCACCATCAAAGTTACCGCACAAACCGGAGATTGTTGTTGAACCGATAGCAGTTTTCAATTGATCGTCAATAGTCAAGAACCATGCTCTTGAATTTTCAACTGACCACTTTGATCTGATATCTCCGTATTCGAGAAAGATAAAGTCACCACTTCTCTCGAAAATAACATCTATAAAAAGAGTAAAAAATCGATTAATCGCTGAATTAGAGAAGATGTGTGAAATTTAAGATTCGTACTTGATGACCTGGTTGTTCCACCAGCTGCTACGGTTATTGGTTCGTTGTTAACTTTAATATCCTCTCCGGAAGCAACAACTGTTGTTTGCGAATTCAAGTAGAATAAAAGAGTCTTTTTGCAGGTTGAATAAGCTTGGCATTCGTTCATTTTTATGTTTATTGTTTTAATTCCGTCATTCATCAATGTATATTCGCATTGTCCTTGGAAAATATACTCCAAACCGTCGAAAGATCTGTAAACTTTTGTTCCATAGGACATACATGTATGAAATCCAATATTTTTGTCTTGATCAACGACTTCCGGTTTTGTTGGATCGGTTGAACCTTCGCCAGCTTTTGGACATTCGATACACGTAGAGTTGGATGAACCCCAAGTTTTTCCACCTCTTGTACAACAATCCTCATAAGTAGTTGTTATTTGACCAACGTCTTGAGCCTTAGGACCCCAACAGAATCCTTGGGCGAAACAATACTTAAGACTAGTTGTTATGGCATCTTTATTATCCTGACAACGATAGCCTGAGTATCCAGCGTCACATTTGCATTCGTCTGGAACGAAACATGTCCCACGCTCGCACGGAGGAGTGCAAATGGGAGTTTCGCATCCTACTCCTGTCCATTGCGGACAACAACGCCGAACAATTTCAACATCGTTCCTGTAAAAGACGTAAAGATAAGATTTTCCTTATTAATTCTCTATAGTAATTTAGTGTTAATTACTTTTCGAAGACGCAAATGTCATTGGAATTTCCAGCTATCCATTGGGATGTCCTCGCTTGAAATTCTTGATTTGAATCGCCACCGAATCCGCTAAGTTCTTTACTTACGGACCATATTCCCAGTCTCATTTGGATTTCTGTGCAAGGAGCACTTTCCTTCTTTATAACGGGTACGGTATCATTGCAGTATTTCGCAGTTCTGAGTGGTTATTGGAGAATGGGGATGGTGGGTGGTAGGGAGGAGGAGGAAACAAAAAAAGCAAAATTAAGTTATAAGTCATACCGTTGATTTGTTGGTAGAGAAAATAAGAAAGTTATCCTTTTTTTTAAATATTATTTGTCATATCCAAAAGTTAACAGACTTTTTGCTTTTATTAATTTTGAACATTTATGAATTTTGTTTGTCGGCTTTCTTTTTAAATTAAAATTGTTTACCCGAGAGTCGTAAATGCCAAAAGAAGTAAGCCGGTAAGGAAGGGATTCCTTGGCCCAAAAATCATCTCGATTATTAAAGTCTTACGAGGACTTATCACTGACGAAATGAAAAATAGATTTATATCGTTTAAAATACGTAACGCGGAATGCGAGGGGACTGAGAGAAGGAAATCTCTAGTCTAATTCTAGAAAACTTGAATTCAGCTTTTATATGTCTCCTCTTCGGCCATGTTTGGTATCATCTGTAGAGGATAAGTGGATATTTAGGAAAGGCGTAAAACCATATGCGACATTTAAATTCAATATTTTCATTCAAGATTTCTTCCAAATCGATAACATCCGTGCGTCTTCTTTCAAAATGGATTTTGCATAAAGGTCGATTTTTGGCATACTTGACTAGCTTTTTTTCGGATTATTATTTTTAATAAGGTAATCAATAGAAAAAACCTTAACCGCTCCCAACCATGATACATGCACGTGCCCATAAAAAAACTTCATTAATTTTTATTGGTCTATCAGATAAATCTGTCTTCAACACTATTCTATTCATTTAGTAAACACATTCTTCAAAATTCAACATTCGATTTTCATCTGTCATCATCATTTCTAACTTATCAAATGTAAAACAGTTCAAGTATAAGTTTTCTTTTTCTCTTCTTTTCTTCTTTCTTCTTTCAGTTTTACACAGATTTTCGTTCAGATTTTTTTTACCATCCAGTTTAAAATAGCACTTCAAGTACTTTATGACGTCATTTTACCAATATTAATTACTTTGAAGTGTACTATTGCGCTTTTCTCTCTTCTTTTTATGTGTGTGTCTAGTTTGTCAAGGAATTTTTGTCTAAAAAAATTTCTAATAGGTGTTTAATTAATAGTTTTTATTGTTTGTTTTGTTTTTATCTTCTTTTTTTATCGGTTAGGCGTCTCTTTCTGACGTTTAGAAAAATTGTGTAAGAACCCGGAAATTCTATTGAAAAGAATTATTGATGTTGGTGAAGATTTTTTTTTCTTCGTCCTATATCTCTTTTGGAAAATAGGATCCTTCTTTCTTTCTTTTTAAAGATAATCTGGCTTTAGAAGAACAGTGGTTTTTTATTAGGACTTATCATTTCTCTCCAATTTTCTTGGCTTATGAAGAGAAGATAGAGAAGGAGAAAGGCAAGAAATAATAGGGAAGAAAATTGGCGTTATATATTAAAGAAAAGCAAAAACATTTAATTAAGCTTATCACTATAATAAAGTTTCTTATCTTTATCGCGATTGTGAAGGAAAATGATAAAGATTATTGCCATAAACTTTATAGAATTTTTATTATCTTCATTCCGAACTGGGAAATGACGAATAGAACTGAGTATGGACCGTTTTATTATTGTTATTACTATGGTATATTTTACGGGATATCTATCATAAGCTTCTTGGGTAATATATCTATAATGATGTTAATAATAGGTCATAAAAATCTTTGGAATATAAATAATTATTTGTTTGTTAACTTATCCATATCGGATACTGTAACAACAATTTTATATACAATGTATAATACTAGTCATTTAGATGTTATTTCTATCGCAAAAGTTCTCGGTAAGTAATTGAATAAATCATTGATTCACCCACGCCCCCTCTTCTTTCTTTACCCCACTTTTTAACTGTTACATACAGACAATTATATCATATTTTATACATCAATTTATAGCTGTTTTTCTCTTATGTCTGTCTCTCTTCCCGTCTCTCTTTGTTTGTGAAAAGACTTTTTATTACCGTCTTTTAACTGATTCATTTTTTATTGATTTTAGGTGAATGGATGACTTGCAAAATTATGATTCTCTTCTTTCATATTTCTGTTAATTGCTCATCTTGGAATTTGGTTCTTATCACTATTTTTAGATATATTTCAATCAATTTTCCATTGAGATTTAAGCTGTTTATTACATCGAGACGTCTTATTCTTGTCATCTCTGTCACTTACTCTCTCATTACTTTAGTGTGCTCAATAATCGACATTACCGTCAAGAAACCAATGGGTAAGCGCTTAGCCAACGGCAACAACGCTAATGATCTTTAATTTAGCCTACAGAAATGAATGTCGAATCGAATTTATTTTCGATATAAGAAGAACGATGGCCTACTTTTTCTTGCAAGTTGGTGTACCACTTACAATAATGATAGGCCTATATTTCCAAATGATGGTTGTTGCTCGACGCCAAGTTAGTTTTGAAAAATACATACTGTGTATCTATGTAATGATAGAGAGAGAGAGAGAGAGAGAGAAAGAAAGAAATTTCTCCACCTTCTCTCTCCCTATAAATAAAAAATTACTTATAAATTTTACTTTATTGCGCTTTCCTTGTATTCCTCACTCTCTTTGCTCTCCGCAAAGATTAAACTTATTTTAAATCAAGGAATCGAAGAAGAGAGTTTAAGGAAAGTAATCATGAGAGAAATAAAACTATTCAAATTATTTGGTATACTTTTGATATCATTTAGTATTGCTTATACTCCAATTTTTGCGTTTCTCATTATATCGGCAATTTGTGGAAAAGGATGCTCGATTAACAAGTACTTTAGGTAATCTCAAAGTCAATTTAAGAGATTATTAAGTTTCTATCGAATTCGTGCCTACGTATTTCCCTAACAGGGCAACTAGTAGATTACTAGTTCATTTCAATACTATAGCAAATGTTCTTATATACGCTGGTCGTACAAAAGATATTCAGAATGTTTTGAAGAGGAAATTTCTAAATGCGAATAGAGTGAATGTAAATTTGGAAGAGAAATAAGAAGGAGAAGAAGAAGAAGAGAGTAATGTAATATTTAATAAATAATTGTATCATTATTATAATAATAGTTATTATCGTATATTAATGAATAAATTTTTGTTTCACGACCGACACAATTAGAACATGCATCTAGAAAAAAAAATTTTTTTCTTTTCCAATAAATTAGAACATTGATTGTCGCTAAATTTGAAAGAAAAAAAAAGAAAAATATAATAAAATAAAGATTGTATAGCAGGTAAAATATATAGCTACAAAATATAGCTAAACAGATCAAATATGGCATTTTTTTTGTACTAAGCAAGAACAAAAAAGAATTCAAAACAATTCAATCTAACTTCATTTTTCACCTTTTTCTTATTTTTACTTTGTCAAAACTCCTTTCTCTTCCTCCTCCTCCTCCTCCTCTAAATTCTCTTAGTTTTAGGACAAAGGTAAATAGGCAAAAAAGGTAAAAGAGAAGCAAAACAAACAAAAAGAGGCAAAATTTGAAAAAATAATAATGAATAAAAAAAACAAGTTAAAGTATTCTTTTTACTGAGAATCAAATTGTTAAAAGGAACAAACTTATTTTGCCAAGAGCTGGCTGCTACAGGAATGTTTTTTATGTATTTTTTAATAAATTGTCCATATCTCAATTAGCTTTTCATTTAATCTATAATTATTAAAAAATCCTTATTGCTCAATTTAAGAGAGAGAAGGAGAGAGAGAGAGAGAGAGAAAGAAAGAGAAATATAAAAAACAAGAATGAGAGAAAGATTGACAGATAGATAGTTAGAGATGGAAGGAATTTTCTTTAACATTTTCTCATTCAATTTTCAGTTTTAAAACTGCAAAAATACTTTTTTGTTTTTCCCTTATTGTAATTCTTATCATTAGAAAACAAAGAGAAAAAGAAAAAAGATTAAGAAAAAAGAAAATGCATACTAAAACTCTCTCACTTCATCATCACTTTTAAAGAATTGTTTCTGCCTCAATAATTGATTATTGATAGTAGTATTGTTTGTTTGTTTCTTTTTTTTTCAACATTTTTTTAGACGCCTTCCGTTGACTAAAATAATATAGAAATTTTATTTCTTTTTAATAATTTTCTCCTTCATCGTCTCAATTATTTTTTTTAAAGAAAAACATTGAAGAAATACGTTAAAGAAGAAGAAGTAGTAGAAGAAGAAGAAGAAGAAGAAGGAGGAGGAGTTGATGAATGATAATGAAGACGATAATAAAAAAAAAGGACGAGGATGAGGAGAAGAAGAACGAGAAAATTAATTAAAAAGAAACAAAATTAGGATAAAAAATATTGAGCTGAAGCTCCGGCTTACAACATTGTTATCATAAATTGTTTTGTTCAAATATTTACAACGATAAACATAAACAACAAACAAAAATTTTCACATTGAGTATATTTCGTTGCTTGCTTCTTAGAATTTTCATATTTATTATTAATTATTAATATATATATATATATATATATATATATATATATATACTTAATATATATATAGATAGATATATAGATATATAGATATATATAATTCAATTAACTACGCCAATTTTTTAACACTTTTTTCCATTTAAAATAAGCAATGTACAAACACGGCCTCGGCGGACCTATCACAAGCGACAGGTGGCGCCACCCACAATTTTTAACTAGTGCTGGGCAAGTTGGACGCTTCGGTGTGGCAGATGGCGCCACATAATAGACAAAAACTGAGCGTTTTTCTCCAAATTTCTAATATATGTTAATTTTTTTTTTCAACAAGATATAAAATCTCTAAAAACGCGAAAGACAGTCATTTTACGAGGTTGTCCAGTTGAAAAAAACTAACAAATAAACCTTTCCTTTTCTTTCTTATACTTTTTTGTTTTTCTCTTTTTTGTACTTTTTTTTAATTTTCAATTTGTTTTCTAGTTTTTGCTTTTTTTTCACTTAAAAAAACATTTTCTACTTTCTATTTCGTTTTGTTTTTTCATCTTTTTCTTTATTTTTTAAAGAGTTTTTTTTTTCAACACTTGAAAAAAAAGATGAAAAAGCAAAAATGAATAATAAGGAGAAATAATAGTTTGAGAGAGATAAATAAGACAGAGAGAGAGAGAGAGATGGAAAAAGAAAATACTCTACAAACTAACTCAATCGCTTACGTAATAACGCTTTCTGTCGTGTGAAAATTAATGTTTTAAGAAAAAAATACCAAACCAAGCTTATTTTGAAATGGAACATTTGTTTCGTGCTCTATTATTAATATGAATAATACATTCTAATTGAGAATTAATTAATGATATTAATAGTAGAATCAGTAGATAACGATAAGAAAATAACAATAATAATCATAATGATAATAATTTAGAGCAATTAGTATGTTAGTGGAGTAAATAATTTCGTTTTAAAATGTTGCCTTGCAACCCTGGGCCGATTTTTCGGAGGACTGTCTTTGAGAATTTAGAGCTTTCAAACACTAAACAAAAAAAGGAACATAGACTCATCTGACTAGTTTTTCCGCCAAGATATCAAAAAATTCGTCAAATGCGGAATGTTAACGCGCACGACAAAAAGAAGAGAAAAATTGGACGGCGGGCGGGGCAGTTCGAAGTTCGACATGTTCTAGGCGTTTTTCGGAGTTTGAATCCAAGGGAACGGAACGGCTTGAGCCAGGGCCGGATGTTGAATGAGCGTCGGGTGGGCGGCTAGAGTAACGGAGGGCGCAAGTTCGGCGTAAGCAGCCGCAAGAGGATGCGCCGTAGTCCATTCAAGACCCGGAAAAAAGCCAGCTCCTGCTAATTCCTCTACAAAAGAGAGAAAACGGGAGAAAGAAGAGAAAAATATAAATTAGAAAATCTTTATTAAGCGTAATAATCTAAATTAATTAATTATTTTTTTTTCCATTTTTTGCCTCAATATTTAATTAAAAAAGGCAGAGAAAAAATGGAGAACAATGAATAATAGAGGGAGAATAATTTCCTAATCATATACATAAAAAAGGAAAAGGATGAATAGAACTAGAAGGGGGATAATCTTTCATTTCTGAATATTTCAAGCTTTTTCCTTTTCTAGCTCGGCTAATTTGCCCTCTCTTTTCTCTTTCATTTCATTCTATTTATCCATCTATCTATCTATCTATCTATCTGCCTGTCTATCATACCCTCTCTTTTCTATCGATTCTTACATCATTCAGCACAAATTAAAGAGACCACGTATCTGCTGCTTCACATGAATATTTATCAGCTTTGAAGTCGAACTCAAGCGAAGTGATAAATAAGCCTAATAACGGTTGGATGCACTAGAAAATCTGCATTCTTTATTAATATTCCTTTATACTGTAAGTACTAGTGCTGTTTGCATGTACATGAGCAAAGGTAAAAAGGGACTTTGACGTCATGAAAATAATCTAATGATGTACTTACGCCCCGTTAAGGGATGGAAAAGAGCGGTGGGATGAGTAGCTGCAGGTTGGGGCGACTGTTGTTTAGGTTTCGTCACTTTCGTATTAGATTTCGCAAATTCTAAGCGCAGTGTTTGCGGTAGATCCGGATCGAATCGGACTCCTTGAAGATCTTGTTTCGCCGCTTCTGCCAATATTCGCGACGCGAATGTCACAAAACCGACTGGCTGTTGGAAGAAATTAAAGAATAAAGAAGCCAATCGATTATAATAATTAATATAGATTTAATAATTAAAATTATCTTTAGAGTCTAAACAGGTTCGATTGAATAGAAAAAACAAAATAATGATTGAATAAATAAATGAATAAGATGATAGAGAGATAAGAGGAGTGATAAAAAAAAATAAAACAATATATAGAAGGTTTCCAACTACTCGAATTATGAAAATCACATAAAAGACAAGAAAAGGGGAAAAGAAAACTTTTCTTCTCTTCCATTGCGACGCTTTCCTACACGATTGATAGGAAAAGAGCGTAACTATCTTAACAGATATTGGCCGTTTAACTTTTTCTTTTCTCCTCTTAATATGGATTAATTTAATTCATTTTGTCTATTCTAATTACAACAAATAGACATAGAGATGTGAAATCTCTTTTCTTCTCTTTTCTCTTCTCTTACTAGGATATTTCTTTGGTCTTTGCTAATAGCGATAACACTTTGTTTGTTTGTTTGCTTACTTTATACAAAGCGAGCGAGAGACGCAGTGAGTGAGAGGCAGCGACAGAGACAAAGAGATAGAGAGCGTCGCTCGGCAAAGAGAGAGAAAAAGGATACATGATAAAATTATTCTCTCAAATGGTATTTGCTACTAGTAGAGAACCCAATAAATATCTTACCAATCAATACAGCGTTGGTATACACTCTGTAACATACTTTAGTATTTACGAGTAGACGCTGTATTCTCTCTGTAAATTACTGTTTAATGTATAAACTAGTAGGGGTGTCTCTTTTAAAGCTCTATTCGCTTAGGATTACAAGATTCGTTATAAATTAAGTCGACACAGGTGTATTGGCATAAAAGTCTATTTGTTTTTTTCCTCTTTATTAGTCTAGTAGATGGATTGACGAACGAGTAATTGGAAACCCTCTTTTTTTTGTGGTGATTCGGAAAAAATTCTTGAAATGTGAGAAAAAATCACTTCTAGGAAGAATTTTACCGGCAACTGGTGTTAATGTGGAATTTTTTGCACACCATGAATATGGAGAAAAGGGAAAAAAAAAAGCACTTCAGTCAAAAGAGAACTTTGAAAATTTTATAAATAGGCCTATTTTCCTGCTTTGATAATAATAGTAATAATAACAGTAATAATAAATAATAAAAATGATGATAATAGTATTATAGTATTAGTGAAATAGAAAGAGCGATAAGTAGCGTAGGAAAAATAATAAACTAAATGATATAAATAACTCGAGTATTAATATCTATTTATAGATTTTCATGTATACATATACAGTATACAGTCTATATAGTATATATATATATATATATATATATATTTATATACACCCTTATTTATATCATTCACTTTATGATGATGCTTGGAAAAAGATAGAAAGGAAAAATGCTCTTCTTCTACAAAATTTAAGTGAACCACTGCAAAAAAAATAGCATAACAAGATATAAATTTTAATTACAGTTGATTATGTTCATGCATCATCAACTGTTTATGCCCAAAGCATGAGAAAAACATGAGAGTTTATATAAATCTCTACAACGATATATATATATATATATATAGTTGTATATTGGTTGATATATATTTTAAAATATCAAGGAAAAACCATCAAGATACAGTATTGAAATAGGAGGTAGAAGAAGAAGGAAGAGGAGCAGTAGAAGAAGAAGAAGAAAGAGATAAAGGAAGAGAAAATAAAGATGAAAATGAAGAATAATTAATAAATGAATAAATAAAAGTTTTACACTCTTAGTGATTTATTATTGAAAATATCATTTGCTTTAATGTTTTCTTTGATTGGATAATTTTTGAAAAAAGATTATAATGAAATTCTTATTTTGTTTAGTTTTTTGTTTTTTGGAATGGGGAAAGGGAGTTTTTTGTTAATATTCTCAAATTTTACCGTCTGTTGGAAAATGTTTGTTTGGTTTGTTTTTTGGTTTTTTTTGTGGTTGGAATGAGGATTTTATGAAAAAAAAAAGAAAAAACAAACATAAGTATATTCTAATTCAGAATGTTTTTTTTTAGTTAAAAAAATTGCCGCTAAAAGGCAGCACAAGTTCCTTTTGGAGAGTTTAAGGGATAAAAGTCGTTCAACAATCTTATCTAGTTGTTTTCGTCTTATGTTTCTGTTTTATATGGGAATACTTATAAATGTACGTACTATATACTCAGTACAGATTTCTCACTCGCATTATCATTGTTTGTTTCGGCTGAATTGAGACAAACATTTTCCATTAATAAAGAGTAGGGAAGCGTCGATACTGTAATGCATTGAGCGTCTATTAATATGAAATAATTACATCTTCCAATCAAACGCTCTCCGTCAGTAAATAGATGGGTTTTTTAAGCTCCGATATATTATTATTCTTTTCCTCTTTCTCTCAATCTTTCTCGTTGAATTATAGAGTGTATAGATGATAAAAATAAATAGAATGGCTTAGCATCAACGTTGGATAAGATTGTCATTTCAGAAAAATGAAAAAATACATTGCTAGACTACTTTTATCCCTTTCCAACCCCTCCTCTTTCTTACTACTACTCGGAAACAATCAACTTACTGATGTATTCTTTCCATTTTTGCCAGTCACTTTAAGCAGCGATCCTTCGTAACCCTGAAAAACAAAGCATGGTTGCCATGGTGATGCCACTGCACTCTGTGATACGGCTCATGCACACAATTCTTCTATATTAATTAGATATTGAATTTTTTTGCATGCACAGCATTGAGAAGAAAAAGAAGCTTGAATGCGTAAAAAAGGTACAAATTCTTTGTACTGTTACTATTATATAAATAAACTTATGCTAAGATACGAATTTATGAATATTCTTATTGTTTTCTTTATTTAAAAATTTTCATTGATGATAATAAGAATAATGATAATAATAAGATACTTTTCATTAAAGATAAAGATAAACTTACACATTGCTTAGTTTTCACTTGACTTATGGTTTTTAACAAGGAATTTTCGTAGCCCTGATTGTTGGTTTTCAATAGATTAACATGAAAAGTTGGCGGAAAGAGAGAGAGAGAGAGAGAAAAAAAGAGAAAATAAAAATAAATCTCTTGTATTTTTTTTGGAGAGAAGAGAGAAAAAAAAGATAAAAAAAAGTCATTTTTTTTCTCTTTTTTTTCATTTTTCTTTTATTTTCTCTTTTAATCTCATAGTTTTTTCTTCTTCTTCTCTTTCTTTCTTTTTTTCTTCTTCTTAATTTTTATTTTCCTCCAAGCAAAAAGAAAGAATGAGAAAGACAGAAAGATTGACAAGAACAGCAGTTTTCTATAGCCTACTATTCTCTTCTCTTCTCTTCTCAGTAATTTTATATATATATGTATATATATATCCCTAACCCTCATAAAAAATATCAGAAAGAACTGTGGAAAACGAGGAAAAAGATAAATAAATAAAGAAGAAGAAGAAGAAGAAGAAGAGGAAATTCCAATTTTATCCTCTTCTTCCTCTAGTTCTTATCATAATTAGTTTGAAAGTTTTCCTCTTTACTAATCTATTTTATTTCCTCATTTTTCTATTAATTTAATTAAAAAAAAAATTGCTTTATGATAATAACCACTCATTCATACTTGAAGACACGTTTTACAAATAAAAAAAATCGTGTTTGTCTATTAATAGAAGGTAATAAATTACTGGCCCTTTCGCCTTACAAACCCTCTCCCCCCTCCCTCCCTCTCTAAAGCTCTACTATTCTAGCCCTACCATTAACAACTAAACGACCAATGAAACAAACCTTATCGAGTCAAGCTTGACTACTGTAATTACTCCATTAAATTGTCCAATCAGTAAAAATTGTTTTTTTTAAGACTTAAATACACTATACTTGCTTAAAACAACTAATTTGACCTTTTGTATGGAGCTAAACAACTGCTCTCCTTCAACAAACTAATTAGATGAACATATTGCAATAGCTTTCTCTCTCTACCAAGAACAAAAAAAAATTGACGGAATTAACTAACGTCATTATTCGTTTATATAAAACATCTAGATTGTAACGTTATTCTAATAGGGAGAAAAAAAATAACGTATGAATAACAATCTGCTGGAGAGCTTTTATTATTTTGTTACATGGACGATAAATGATACATAACGCCTTATTAATTTTTTTTTCTTTCAATTTTCTCTTTTCTCTTTAATGCTATAAGGTTTACCTTTTGGTCGTTTAGAATGTTCGGATACAATTTATTCGCTTCAAATATATATATATATATATATATCTGGATGGATTGGCTAGCTAAAACGGACTTAAGCCTATATACAAACGCGAATAAAATCGAACAGCTGCGATAAATACCTTGTAAGATCTAAATAGTAGGTATAATTCCCTCGGTTTTGCATCCATCGGCAGGCCGCTTACGAACAGAGTTCTAACCTGAAATTAATTAAATATTAATTAGAAGTGGATACTTGTTATGTATGTATTTATATCTCTCTTCCTCTCTCTCTCTCTCTCTCTCTCTCTTTGTGTCTTTTTTTAAGATATTTAATTCCAACAGAATGTTCAAAAGTTAACAAGTAACACGAAAAATAGACTTGACAATTTCTTAGAATATCTATACTTTCACTTTTTATACTTTTCCATTCTAAAGTCAAATTTGAATGTGTATTAATGTATACGTCCTCACACACATACATACATACTTCATGCATTCATATAGACCATTTATACTATATATATATAGCATATATTATGCATACACAGACGCACACACACACACACACACACTCTGAACATTGCCTGTAAAGTTTTTACGTAAAATATACTACTGCAATTTACAGTTAGTTTTACATTAATAGTTGACAGAGTTACGATTTATTTGCTACAAGTTGGAAGGTACACAGCTCACAGCATACAATAGTTAGGGAAACATTTATTGGGAAGAGAGGGAAAAAACTCTACAGGAATATATTTTCGACCACCCGTTGCTATTACTGTTAGGTTCTTGTCGAATTACGGATTCGTAATTGTAGTCACGTGGCGTGATGTCTGATAAATTGTGTGTAAAGAGCGGAAAGGGCGTGGAGAGGTGTTTTTTTGGCAGTGTTTGTTTCGGTTTCGGTTCAGATTGTACCAAAATCTCCTTTACATTTAGAATTTCTTTATTTTTTTTTAAAAAAAAAAACTTCAAATAGATTATTCTTTATTCTAACTGTTCTCAATTTCTTAAAAAAGTTGCCTCAAAAATTCCTTTTTCTTTCCTCTTTCGTCATTTTACTTGTTTCTTTCTCTTTTTTCTTTCCTTTTCTCTTTTTACCTGGTCTCCAGGTTGGATCATTTACAGTATATACAAGTATATATATAGTACAGTCTCTCTCTTTTTTTCTTTCTCTCTCTCTCTCTCTTGTCTGTCTATCTCTCAAATCGCTAATACTGTAAATAATCTTATCACTTCTTTCCTCTCTGCTCTCATTAATAGCAATTATTAAATCAAATAAAAAACGTGAATCGAAATTGAGATATTGTTAGTATTTTCAATTGACCTGTACTTTGCAATTACTGACCAGGTAAATGTCAATTCTATCAAATTACCATGATTTCTGCTCCCTTTAAATTCAGGTCAGTGACATGACTAATAATCAGTATATCGTATGAGAAATTATAACCTCTCCAACTATATCTACGAAATATAGTGCTTATATTGCAATATACGCCAATATAGAATCTATACGTGTAGAGTATATATACTGCATGTAAATTTTTTACAGGTGAGAAACAAGCAAACGTTGAAGCACCGAGGTTGTAAGTGAATTATATAAAAGTGTCACTAAGCACGCAAAATTGCGTTGCCCTATAGATAATTATTATTCGGAATGTCTGGAATTATATTGAAAATCTTATACTGCTTAACAGGAAATCTGAGCTCGTGACAAACATTATGAAAATTAAGATCGGACTTTATTAAATAAGCCTTCTGTAATTTAAAAATCTTCGTTACTAGCAATTTCAACATTCCCTTTTCAAAAATAAAACAAATATTTACAAAAATTCCTTAGTAATGATAAAAAATGCAAATTAGGCCTATTGAGCTGGTAATTTTGTCATCAAAAGTATTTTGTATACTTAAATATTGCATTTAATGCTTTTGGATGCTTGCCCTGTGGAAAAAAGCTATTAAATATAGGGGATTATCTTTATCCGTACCAGTTATTTCTTTTTTGCCTTCGCTCCTTTCTTTTACTTTAGCATGTTCCATTTTCCCCCCTATTCTTCCGATTCGAAATAATTTTTCATAACATTGATAAGCCTCTCTCTGTGTCTCACGCTCTCTGTGTGTGACTCTCGCTCTCTCTCTCTCTCTCTCTCTCTTTTCCCTACCTCCCCTCGCCTAAGTCAGTCTATTTATATACTTAAAATAGTATTTATTTTACAAGGAGCAGTTTTTATAAGAATATTGATCGACTCTATTATAGAGGGATAATGATAAATTAAAAGTTAAAAGGAAAACTGTAAACTCTGTTTTATAATTGATAGATATAATCTTAATTAAGTTTGAAGGTAATATTTTGACATACTCTAGATATGGAATAGACAAATCTATCTATTTATCTATCTATCTATGAACTATGCATATTTCTTAGAAACGAAAAGTGATTAAAAGGGCGATTCTCTTTCTTTCAGACTAAATCAAAGTAAATTTGTACAGGTAAGTGTTATATATATATCTTTATGCTAATATATATATATAGATATATATTAGTATATTTGTAGTTTATTTATATATACAACCGCCTTAATTATATTTAATTGTGTCGAGTATATTAATGATGTTACATAGGCCAACTATATGAAAACAATGATGATATGACGCAATAGACTCTAATAGGGTATATATGCACATCAAACGATATATACAACGTATATATATGGTTAGTACGGAAAATAAATAGACGAAAAGAGCCATTGACGTGTATACATGTGATACTTATTTCTTAATGAATGCATACAAGCTGTAAAGAAGGCGAGAATGGAGAAATTATTTGGTTTCGTGGAGTGTAAACAAAAGAAAATGGTAGTCAATGCTTTTATGACGGGAGAAAATCTCGAAGAAAAGGGTCAGACGACTTAGAGCGGATAATCCTTATTATAGGTGTATAATCAATATTACGGCCATTTTCATTTTGCATATAATATATAGTGGCATATACTTTCTATTGATATGGAATATACACCGGCTAATAACCTATATTCATAAAGTTTATCAAAAAGAAGTGTTTTGTTTACTATAATATTCATTACTGCAAATCAGGAGCGCATATTGTAATGCTTTTTAGAAGATTTAATAGGATTTTGTGTAGGCTAAAATCAGCTTTTTTCCTATCACACGCTCATGTTAGTAGGATGAAAGAGGCGAGAAAAACGGTGTAATTATAGCAGCGTCTATACGCCCTTTTTTACCCTTTTACATGGGCGTCTATATCGAATAAATTTTCCTCTTTTAATCTTTTATTTCAGATTGCCTTTGAGCTACCACACCCATGTTATTCATGATTTTTGTAACGAATGCTGTTTTTCTGTTTCGTCTAACTTTACTTAATTATTTTTTTTTTGTTAGTACTGCTTATTCCGAATAAAAACCATTTCAACACTTTTCATTTTTCTTATTATCATCTCATTTAACACTGCTTTTGGTTCGTAACGAAATCTTACGCACACCCAAAGCGACGAGACCTGCCGGATGAGGTCGTGCCCTTCACTGACGGGCACAAACGATCTGCGTGAGCATCAAAAGAACTATATAGGCCCAATTGTAGCGTCTAACTAAAGCGCTTGCAAATAACAGAAAATATAATCGGATTAGAAGAAATTTTGAATCTCTTCTAGTGGACTTAATCGTACTTAGAAAGCATAATTTAATTTCCACCTAGACTTTGATTATTTCCTTTGATTAATAGATGTTCCGAATAAAGAAAAAGAAGGAGGGAGGGGGGAGTGCGAGAATAAAGAGCTAAAGGAAAGAGATAGTTGCAGTTGTAGACGGGATGAGGGGAGGAGGGGGAGAGGGGAAGAATAAGGCATAGATGGATGAATGAATGGACGGAATGAAGGAGAGTAATGCCTTTAAAATGCAGATATAAATATTTGTCTTTTAGTCACATAACACGTTATCGCCTATTGTGAGGTTTCATGTGACATATAACACCTGACTACTCTATAACTCTTCAGATGAATGCTAATTGATTTTTTTCTATTATATGAAAAATCAATATACAGTATAATAGAATTTACGTGTTCTGATTGGAGTCTAGTAAATATCCCAAAAAAAAAATAATTTGTTTTTCAAATACGTTTTACACTTTTAAACTTTCGCTATCCAGTCTGGTAAAGAGATTAATTTGGTAAAAACGCCTATAATGAATAGGCCTACAAGCAAGGAAATAATCACTAAAGTGTTACGCTTCTTAGAAGAATAGCTATTGATCCTTTTGTCACGAAACATTGAATATCGTCATTGTATTTTCTCTTCTATATTATAATATAATATCGAACAACATAGACTATAAAAGAAAAATTCATATACATGTATGTATATAGGCAGCGCATTTACAAGTATTCATTTGCGTATATCCATCCGACTATCATATAGTTTTTACATATATAATATTCTTTGTATATGCGAAATATAAAGATTGCAAATCAGAATGCATATGAATAAAAGTACTATATTATCAGAAATATATCCCCCAGACTACTTCAAAGCTATGGACAATTCATTCTTTCTACTTGAAATATCAATTTTTTTTCTACAATCTCAATCTGAACTTTAAGTAGCAAATAAAACGCAACCCTGGGGGTGGAAAGAGAGGGGGGTAAGGTAGTTTTTGTGAGCCTAGGAGAAAGGGGGATTTCTTTTTTAAGGCTAAACATTTATTAAAAGTAATAGTATTTCGCTTATTTGGTTATCGTAACAGTTTCGTATTTATAACATAGTCAATGTTGTAGGTGAAATTATATTAAGGATCCTATATAAATGAAATAATAGAGAAGCTTTGGGGGTAGGAGCGAGGAAGGGAAGGACGGAGACAGAGGAACAAACAAGAGGAACATAAAAATAGAGAGAGAGAGAGAGAGAGAGAGAGAGAGAGAGAGATGACAGGGAAGGTTTGACTGTGGGAGAGAAAAAACACTCTTTTCAAATATTTACCAGTTTCGGGCCTTATTTAAAAGCCTCAGAGACCTGTAAATTGCTAATTATGGTAAAAGATAAACCGCACTCCGTTGGACGACACCATATAGTAAAAGAAGTCATAAAAAATGGAACAAGGCAAAAAAAATTCACTTATACAAGTCAAACGTAAAGAGAGTGCTTTGAAGCGCAGCAATCAGCCGATTAACACCGCAAAAATTTGCACGCGATCTACTGCAAAAGGAAA